TATGTAGTTTTGAGAAAAAACATAAGCAATCAGAAAATCAATTAGTTCATGATAGTATTGATTAACACTGTTATTAGATTACTGATCATCAAAATGTGACAAACTGTATCATGTATATGTGAGACAACTTAAAAAAAACTTACAAAAGGTACAGGTTCTTTATACACGTTTTCCCCTTAACCTTTGATCTTTTTTATGTATAATTAAGACTACAGTAATCAAAATAAAGTGAAGGAATCCATAAACTCCAAAAGGAGTGTGACTTGGTACGTTTTCAGGGTAAGCGTCTCCTGCTATGCATGCATAACACTTCATGTGATTTTAGTATCTAAAAATCGGAGACCACGAAAAGATGTCATTAGTGAGTTTAGACACCGACACATCGTATTTGTCAACCAATTCGTGATGATGACCAAAAACTTTTGTAGTATTAATCTAAGTCGTTCTTTCTCATACCTCTGTTGGAGCAGTTTTTGTGTAAGAGCACAACCCTGTTAATGAAGTACGTGTATTGTCAACACGCACAAGTTAAATGTATTGCCTGCGATATGTCATTGCTGAGAAATGGGTTGACAATTGGTAGTTGAAATCATAACGTTTGTCGTATGTGCCAGTTTGGAGTGGTCCATCTATGTAAATATAAAAGAAAATATCAAGATATGAAGCAGACCTTGTGTAAATGATTTTACACCCATTGTTATATGTAAAGTTAAAATGTGATAGTGGTTTTTCAGTCTATTTGGATGGCTTAATCAGTGTGGTAGTAAAAATTGTACATTTCATTGTATGTATTAATGTTTCACTCTAATAGATTATACGTACATTCATTTCATCCTTGTGTACAACAAATCACATTACAATATGTGGCAGAGCTTTGATTTGGTTGCTCAATAACTCTGCTGAAAAATTGATATTTTTTAAAAACTGATTTAACTAAATGCTGGTAAGCCTCTTTTATATTCATGAATATCCAATCTAGAACCTCATAAAAAATCATCAATGAATGATTCATACTTACTATCACACATGTTGGCTTTATAATCAAATTAACATACTACCGAACCGTCAGTACATTTGAGTTTCTGAGAACTTTTTGAAAAAAATCAGTCGTTACAGACCTAGAGGAGAAGAATGAGTAAAGAAGAGGACCGAATCAATATTTTTTTCAGTTTGATGTACATTTAGTTCCTTTATTCAAAAGCTTTCTCGAACCTGTCGCTGGGCATCACTCCAGCGAATGTCTGTTCAATCACTAGGATTTGCATGCCGTTAAAGTCACCAAGTATGTGATCTGATTTTAGATAAAGGAACTAAATGTACATCATCCAAACGGCATCAATAAGAAATGCTAGCAGTTTTATTTTACACTCATTTTGACAATTTGGGATGTATATATACACAGTCGCGTCTACTGAGTATTGAGCTTTTTTTTATTTTATGATGTTCAAGATTTGGGATTAAATCAGTAGACCAAAACTTACCTGTAATATTGAGCTATTTTACACATACAATTAGTATTGTTAAAATTATTGACACTGACGAAGGCTATTTTTTACACATACAATTAGTATGGTTCAAATCATTGACACTGACGAAGGCTATTTGTTAATTTGTTAAGCCGAAATATTTGTCAACACGATTTTATAACATCATCCTCGTATATTACCATCTTTCTATTAGGACCGTTGTGCAATATTTTAGACTTATATACATATATATATATATATATCAGTCAGCAGGGTTTAAGAACATCAGTTGTTCGACATGCTAGTCAAATGCGTTTTATTAAAATATACCTTTTCACTCATTTGGTCTTTTGTTTGGTCTTTTGGAAAATGTTGTTTGTGCTGTATTTAGACCCCTCTACCAAGAAATTTGTATATATATATACAAGTCTAAATTGAAAACAACGATCAAACTGTGCATGCAAAACAAATTTCTTGGTAGAAACCCTGCTGACTGCCATTGGCGATTGCCAAATAAACGGATCACAACATGTAACAAAATGGATCTTATAACTTATTTATTACCAAACAGAAAACAATAAACTTGCGGAAAAGATGGTATACCGCAAACATGAGGTGCAAAATTTTGTACACCATATCCGGATTTCGACAATTAATGTCTCTTCAGTGATGTTAGAAATCGAAACGGTAATTGGAAGGCCATATAATTTACCTCACTTTAGGATAGACTCTTGAATTTTGAAAGAGTCGAAATAGGATGAACGGATCATATAAATCCGAAGGCAAATATAATACAAGCCCAAACGAAAAAATATAAACAAGTCTAAATTGAAAACAACGTTCAAACTTATGATTGCGTTGGATAAAAACCACAATTTTTATACGTGTGCATGCAAAACAAATTTCTTAGTAGAGGGGTCTAAATACAGCAAAAACAACCTTTTCCAAAAGACCAAAAAAGTGAAAAAGTATATTTTAACAAAGCGCATTTGACTAGCAGGTCGAACAACTGATGTTCTTAAACCCTGCTGACTACCATTGGCGATTGCCAAATAAACGGATCACAAGATGTAACAAAATGGATCTTATAATTAATTTATTACCAAACAGAAAACATACATATATATATATATATATATATATATATATATGTATGTTTTCTGTTTGGTATATATAAGTAGTCAGAGGCCTCGGTGGCCGAGTGGTCTAAGTAGTTACTACTGTAATCACTAGCCAGTCAACACTGAGGTTGTGAGTTCGAACCCCGCTCGTGCGGGTGCACTCGACTCCAATCTTAATTGACTAGGATTGTCAGTTTTCCTATCGAAGGTCGGTGGTTTTCTCCGGGCAATCCGGCTTCCTCCACCAATAAAAACTGGCCGCCACGAAATAGCCCAAAAGCGGTGCTTAAAAGTGGCGTTAAAACACAAAAAAAATCAAAAATCAAATATGTAAGTAATCTGAACCAGTGACAACTCTACGACAGATTTTATCTATCGGTTCGGATCATATCTCAGTAGCATGAGTTCGAATCCCGGCCAGGGAAGAACAAAAAATTTGCTTCCGCAAATATACAGATCTAACATTGTCGGGCTGTTATTTAGACAAATTATGTATACAGAATGTGTTTTCAGCCTTGTATCACCATCACTGGTGATCATATGGATAAAATCTGTCGTAGAGTTGTCACTGGTTCAGACGTACTTATAATATAATTATTTCTGTGACTGCATCCTACATTAATTTGTATCTATGATAGATAATTCAGCTGATCTGTAATATTCCATCTTCATGCCTTATATATCATGTACTGTGTTACGACGCTAGATAAAAACTGACGAGGAAAGGTAACACCCGGCCACCGAAAGCTTGATTTTTGTCGAGCCTAGGTGGTCGAGTGGTCTAGCGCGTCGGGCATAGTGCAAAGCGATTTGGTGCCACGATATCTCACCATCATGAGTTCGAATCCCGGCCAGGGAAGAACAAAAATTTGCTTCCGCAAATTTACAGATCTAACATTGTTTTTTAGACGAATTATATATATATATTCATAATTACTCTAAATATCAGCACAACAATGTTAAATCTGCAAATTTGCGAAAACAAATTTTTGTTCTTCCCTCGCCGGGATTCGAACTCATGCTATTGAGATATCGAGACAACACCGCCTGCACTATGTTCAGCGCTCTAGACCACTCGGTCACTTAGACTGAACTAAAAATTCTGCTTTTGGTGGCCTAGTGTACCTTTCCTCGTCCGTAGGATCTAGAGTTGTAGCACAGTACATGATATATTAGGCATGAAGATGGAATTGATTGCAGATTAGCTAAATTATCTGTCGTAGATAATCGTAAGATGCAGTCACAGAAATTATTATTTGATAAGAACGTCTAAACAAGTAACAACTCCACGATAGATCCATCCATTGGATCACCAGTGAAGGTAATACACGGCTGAAAACACATATTATATTCATAATTACTCTAAATATCAGAACAACAATGTTAAATCTACAAATTTGCGGAAGCAAATTTTTGTTCTTCCCTCCCTGTGTCCAGCGATGGCGGTGTTGTCTCGATATCTCAATAGCATGAGTTCGAATCCCGGAGAAGAAAGAACGAAAATTTGCTTCCGCAAATTTGCAGAATTAACATTGTTGTGCTGATATTTAGTGTATTTATGAATATAATATGTGTTTTCAGCCGTGTATTACCTTCACTGGTGATCCAATGGATGGATATGTCGTAGAGTTGTCACTTGTTTAGACGTATATATATGTATATTAAATGTATTACTGAGAAGACGCCATAAGTCTAATTTTAGTTGTGTTATATCCTTTTTACTTTAGTTTTCAAATAAAATATATTTAAACTAAGTAATTTAATTGGAAGTGATAAATTTTACCAATTCAAACAAAAATTGGTTACCTTTGGTAGTAATATTCATAAAGTGTTTCCAAGAGGAGACAGATCAAACATGTTATTTTATAAAGTCGATGATACAAGACAGAGAATCAGATATCGTCATGAATATCCGCCAATATATTTTTTACAAACAGGTTCAACCTGATTTACTATAATTAGGTCATTATGTTACTAAACGAATTTGTATACAATATACATGTACATATATTCATCAAAGATACCAGGATTAAAATTCTGTACGCCACACGCGTTTAGTCTACAAAAGACTAATCAGTGACATACGAATTAAAAAAAGTTGAAAAGGTTAAATAAAGTACAATGCTGAAGAGCATTGAGGACTGAAATTTCCGAAAGGTTTGTCAAATACAGCTAAGGTAATCTATTCCTTGGGTAGAAAATCCTAATTCTAGTATTTCTAAAAATTCATAGTTTTGTAAACAGCCGTTACATTTAATATATAACTACCATTTCAAATGAATAATTATTGTCATTCTCAGTTTTTATTGTAGCCCTTTAGATGGAATTGCAGAACTTGCTATAAAACAATATCAATTCGGGAGAATAAATTCATATCGTTTGTTTTAATTGCATTCGTCAATTTCTATCACAGTGAAAGATTAACTGATGGGTAAAAATAAAAGACAGAGGAAGAAGGCAAAGATAATGAAAAATATGAAGGAAAACGAAAACCACCTCCATGTCACACCAGTTGAAAAGAGTACTGATCGCAAGAAATATAAACAAGAACCTACTGATAAATCTTTTTCAGACAGGGCACATAAAAAAAGTCCAATTCGTAAAAACATGGATAGTCGTAGTTTGACCGAAGACGTGAATGGAAAAGATGACTCCTATACGACCAAGAATGAAGTCGGAATGAGTAAACAAAATGATACATGTGCAGCTGATTTTGACAACAGTAAACAGAGTGAACAAGGGGTATTCACAGACCAGGAGGATGAAATCGATACTGTCCATCCTTTGATCACACAAAGCACAAATGAATATAATAAAAATGAAGAAGAACCAAAGGTTAAGGAAAGCACCCCTACTTCCGATGAAAGTAATTGTCAGCATTCCGATGAAAATGAACACACAAGGAGTGATGACTCCAGATTAGACAACACTAAGACAGAAAGCTTGACTACCTTAACAGAATCTCATACCACAGAGCAAGATTGCGAAGACAAGATCGACGATGATCAAAATAAGAGTGGTGACACTGAACGACATTTGAAACAAACTAAAAGTTGTCAAATCATGCAAGGTGATGATCTTCATCTAACTCCAGATGGTACAGAGAACAATGACCAGAAACAAGATAACTTTGGTGATATCCACCACAACAAACAAAACACTGCAACTAAGCATACCATGGATGACAAAAACATTCCAGAGAAAGTATATAATGGCCCATTTGAGTTTAATGACAATGCTGGTGGCTTTAAAGCTAAAAAACAAGTCAAAGTCCGTGAGAATTCAAATGATACAACAGATGACTCTTTATCCAAGATTTCTATTACAGAACAAGCTTACTGGAATACTGGGGATAATAAAGAAAATCACGATGATGGGGGTTTTATCAATGAAAATACATCTGAAAAGGGAAACGGGCAAAATATGAATGGTGAGATATTATTATAAGACAATCAAAACTGATTAGATGTACAAACTTCTATTACATGATTATTTTGAACCCTCTCTTAAATGATGAGCATATAGCAAGAAATGTAATAATCGCCATATACTACACATCTCAATTAATTTTATATATGAAATAAGAAGTTGTGGTATGATTTTCAATGAGACAACTTTTCACCATAGACCAAAAACAAGGTCTTTTCATATTTTTCTTGTGTCCAAATTTATGCCTTGAAATGCAAAAATCGCACTTTAAAGCATACTAGAATGAAAAAGATCAGCTCATTTTGTCATACTTTGGAATATTTGTATTTCAATAAATCATTTTCTTGATTTATGTAAATCATCATGATCGATCATTAAATTCACATTTCAGGACATATTCGGCACCCAAGAGATGATTTAGATAAAGCAATCACCGTAAACGATCCAGGTAGAATTGATTTTGACAATGGTGATCAGAATCAACAAGGACAAAGTCAAGTGGAATCTACCGACCAGGAGACGGCTTACGTAACTTTTCATTCTTCGATCACACTTTGCACAATTGAAAATAATCAAAATGAAGAAGAACTGAAGAAGAATGAAAACATCCTTATTTCAAATAAAAGTAGATATCAGCATTCTGAAGAAAACGATCACGATGGAACCATTGGCTCAAAAGTAGACAAAACTGACACGAAAACCTTTCCAACCGTTAACACCGAAACTCTGATCACTAGAGGAGATGGCGGAGATAAGAGCGACGATGAACAAGATAAGAGTGATGATTCTGAACGACATTTAACTAACAGTTGCCTCAACATGGAAGGAGATTATCTATCTCTAGCTCCAGAATGCCCACAGAGTAATGACCAAACACAAAATAACGTTGCTGATATCCAACACAACATAGCAAATACTACACCTAGACATACCATAATAAGTGACGAGCAGTTTTCTGGTACAGGCAGTAAAACAAATATTGACCAGAATAATCAGGGACAAAATAAATATAGCCAACCAACTAAAATGAATCATATGACCGTGTACAGCGAAAGTTCGACAACTTTACAATGTATCGACCAGCCGTCAACATTTATCCAAAATGAAATGAAAGGTGGTAGCAGTGATGATTTCCTGGGTGACAACAATACTTCAGAGAAAGGGAATAATGGCCCATCTGAGATTGAAAACATTTATGGAGACTTTATACAGAAAGGAATTCGCAACCATGTACAAACAAAGTTTGAGTCGATCGATAATCTTACTAAAGAGAATATAGGGAATGACGATGATGGAAGTATCTCTGAAAAAGAAAACGGAAAAAACATAAATGGTGAGTGATTAATATCATATGATCAAAACCATCAAGATATATAAACTACTGTTTGGTAACTCTGGATACTGGTCAGAGGTCAATTGGACTAAATTTTGTTAATACCGCTGTTACATGATGAGCCAATACCAATAAATGTATAAGCTTCCAAGTACTTCACACATCCATTTTTATACATATGAATAACAAGTTGTGCTATGTTTGTCAATGAGATACCTTTTTACCAGAGACAACTGGGCAAGAACATATTCCTTGCAATGTAAAAAATTGCACTTTTAATCTTCCAGAGTGTAGACTACACTATGGTACTTTAGATTTATAGGTTTCATAACGAGTGAGAATTGGATATCACTTTATATCAACTCGAGTTATTTAATTTTATTATGAGAATAAACGATCCTTCGGCGAGTTTATTATTACTACTAAAATTAAATAACGAGAGTTGATATCAAGCGATATCCAATTCTGACAAGTTGTTAAACCTATTTCTCTTATAGTCAACACTCTCGTTGTGTTAAAATAAAACTTCCGCGAATAGTTGATCCAGTCTTTTGCACATTCAAGTATGGCGTCATAAACAAAATATGTCCTGTTCCGGTGTCAGACATCAGACATTTTAAAACTTTTTGTACGCTCCAGAATGTAATAAAATTTGACAAAAAGAATATTTTCTGGTAAAAAGTGTAAGTGTTTTGTATATATAATTGAAGAAATCACATATGTCCATTGCCATGGACGAAAAATACATCGTCTTAACCTTTGAAAGTCATCACTGACCTCATGAATAGCCAATGGAAATGTCGTAATATCGTCACATGATGCTTGATAAGCCAATCAAATTAACGCTGATTTCCGTATCACTTTTTCGTATCACACTCCGTGCAGTGTGGTACGAGAAATATTTCATGCAAGAAATAGATAACAAGCCACAACCATATGAGAATATTTTGTATGCATATAAATCATTTTCCTTTATTTCGGTTAATCATAATGTTCAATTTATTCACATTTTAGGACATGTTCAGCAACCAAGAGAAGAATTAGGCAAGGCAGTCAACAAAGACATTATTTTGCTTAAAACACAATTGGATTCATTAAAAGAGGAAAGTGAAAGTATAAAAGGTATATTAGAAAATCCAAGAACTAGATTGAATGAACATATTACCGATTTTACTATAATCATATTAACGGAATTCCACTTCAATCCAAAACATGCAGAGCTACATCAGAGTATCCAAATAGTACTAAACACAAACAAATAATATATGAACGATCACAATGGAAACATCAAAACGGTTAGCGAGAACCCAGTTTCTTATAACCAAAGCAATTAAGTGCCAGTCTGCCTAAGGATCAGGCAGTGACCAAAACATGATAGTCTCAGATTTTGATGAAAACTTGCACAAATCATCTGAATAACAAGTTATAAAGAAAAAAATACTTTTCGGACCAATTACATATGGTTGCTATGGAAACAGAGCCATTTCATTTTTCCAAAAAACGAATTATTGAGATTAGCATAAAACTGACAGTTTTTCACTATTTCAGTCTCATGAAAACTGCTGTTCATATAAAATGTAGTATTTCTCCATTGTACTGCAACTTTTTCAACTATCAAATATTCTTGAAGAACAGCTGTTTTGATGAAATTCTATTTCATTCTTGAAATTTTGGGGTACGGATGGTCTCCATGGACCATAATGTCCAAAAAAGCCAAAAAAGGCCAGAAATCAAGTTCAAATATTTTCTATTACCAGAACAGCATATACATTGTGTTACTTAATATGGAACAAGTAGTGGTCATACTTTCATTATTTCATAAAAGCTCGGTGGGTTTTTTCCAAATATTGAGTAACCATAGCAACAAAGTTAACCTATAGCAACAAAGCTAAAAAAACAAATTGTAACAAATGTATTCAATATTAAAGACTAAAGACATATAAATGGACTAAATATGATTTATTTAAGCTAATCTCATTCCAGTGTTGTCAATTTTTCCAGTTTTTTCCCGGAAAATATTACATAGCAACCGAAAATAGTCCTTAGCAACCAAAATGTACAAACTTAAATTTTTTGGTTTTTTTTTATACAAAAATATTCTCCAGTGCAAAAAGCGACAATTAAGTGGTCAGATATCAATCATTTCGATATAAAATCAGTAAATTAAACAATAACTACATTTCATTAGCAACAACTTAAACCCCCTAGTAACAAAATAGATTCTTTCAAAAGTTTCACATTTTTGGTGTGAGCTTACTTCTTATACCAGATTCATATTGGTTTGAGACATTTCATTATAGTTACTGACACTATCATGCTTTAAAATTTGTATTACAACCTGGTGGTTTTTTTTAAACAAGGGATATGCATAACAACCAATAAATACTCCTTAGCAACAGTAAAGTATGCATATTCCACATTCTTTCTATCAAAATTATAGGCTATTATTTAAATTATACATTTTTTTATGTTAAATGCTTCAATATTGAATTGCTATTAATAATTGAAAACTAACCGGAACTACAAAACTTCAACGTTGACCTTTGAATCATGAAAATGAGGTAAAGGTCAGATAACACCAAATTCATAGACATATACACCTTGCAATCGATCTATACACCAACCTATTGCTTACAGCACTCGAACAACTGACCAAAACACAAATTTTTTTTTTCACTAATGAACCCTGAAAATGAGGTCAATGTCATATGAAACCTGCCAGACTGACATGTACTTATAATTATTCCATAAACCAAATAAAGTTATTTATTGCATAAAGTACTTGTTAGAAGGACCAAAAACACAAAAACTTATCATTGATCACTAATGAATCATGAAAATGGGGACAAGGTCAGATGGAACCTATCAGATCTAGACAGACATCTATCCCTTACAATCATTCCATACACCACACATAGTTGACCTACTGCTTATATAAGAGAAATGAACCTATTCATGCATGTAACTTTCACCTTGATCACTGATCCATGAAATGAGGTTGAGGTCAGGTGAACCCTGTCTGACTGCCATGGAGACATAGCAAGTAACCCATATATATACCAAATATAGTTATCCTAATATTATTCATAATAAGTGAGAAATTCGCATGACCAAAAAACTAAAAAAAAATTTGAGCAGTCACTGAACCATGAAAATGAGGACCAGGATTTTGGACATATGACAGACAGAAACTTTGTAACATAAGGTATCTGCTAACAAGCTCTTCTTATTTATATTACGAATCCAGGTCTTCTACGGTCTTCTACCCTCTAAAATATAATATTTGGCCCTACCACCGTCGGATAGTAATGCCTTTGTCTTGCATACTGTGACACTGTGAGACGAAATGTAAGTCATAAAAACATGCAACATTTTTCAAAAAGAAAACATTAAAATGCACAAATTATTGCATTCATTTATTATAATATTTTTAAAAGTAACTGACCAAATTAGAGATTTATTTATGTTAATACAGGAAAAGCTCTTCCAAATTCTGATTTCAGAATGCAAGTTCTTATCATTGCGATACTCAACCAATCTCAACATTCAAATGCTTTTAAAAACTTCTGTCACATACATGTAATTCCTGAATTTACAGTTTTCAGATTGTTCAGAGTCTTCTTATATTTATCATGTCTTATTATTTCATCTGTCATTCAGGTTTTGTATATCTGTTCTTTAGGTTCAAACATGGCTATAAAATTTCCCAACAAATAGAGGCTAAGTTGTCATCCTTCACTTCAGAAATGTTTGTCAATTTGAAGGCACGCTATTTACTTATGTCCATTTGCTACAATCATTTTGATCTTCCTACTCAAGTGCGCAATATTGGCATCACAATATGTTGAGCCTCATTGAACTGTAGTTGAATCTTTTAATCATCAATCCTGCAATCATATGAAATTTCAGTAAAAATCAAAATAAATATAATAGCAATTCATTTACAGTTCATGTTGTTAATTTCAAGTTCAGTGAATCACTATGGTTGAATGAAATGTAAATGATTGATGTTTAAAAAAATGAACACTAAGGAAACGACCATTAATTTTAGTACATGTATGTGAACAAGCGATCAATATATAAATTTATGTGCAAGTCCCAGGTGGAACATTGTTTGTTTTTTTGTTTTTTTTTGCTTACCAGTGATTTTGCAATCACTTGTCATTTTTCGCTTTAGAAATGAAAAGTATTTCACTAAAATATAGTAAAAGTTTAAAAAATAAACTTGACACAGTCTATATGTTAATTTGGTAGAAAAATTCAAATGATGAAATCAAATAGTTATACTCTGAAATGTTTAAATATGCCAAATATTCAAAGTGAATGAACCATTACTAAAAATGTCAGTAGAAATATAAGAAATGCCATTAATACTAAATACAACTGTATACCAAATAAGAGAGTGGTAATGGGGGTACCAGTCCATCATTAAGATTAAGGGTAAGAATTCTTGCCAAAGGGCGCTAACGGTAATTTTTAGTCTATGACGATAAAATGTACACTTTCTTTTTAACCGTAAAGAAATCGACTGATTTTGACGAATCATGTTAACTTTTTCTCCAAAATTAACAGTGATGATAACTTTTTGAGGTCTCTGACGAATCACAATAACTTTAGGATATTATGACAAATCACGGTAAAATTTTAACCAATTTGAGGCTTACGGTAGCCTTAAATGACTGTTTGACGCCTGACAATACAGGGCATTCCTACCCTCAAATAAAACTAACTTATCATAAGTGGTTCTTTGTTAACCGATCTACATGAAATCACACACTTTAAAATGTAAACTAGTTGCTAAAATGATAAAATCAATAGACCATGACCAAGGGTCGAAGTAAGAGGACAGGGCCAAATAATTTCCATAGATATAAGATGCATCAAATTGAATGCTTATACAACTTTATATATCAAATATTATTTATTTACCATTAGTAGTTCCACTTAAGCTGACCTAATTAAAAAATTTTAAACACCAATATGTTTTTGAGTAGGGAAAGGAAATGCATGATTTTTTTACAAGTAAAAACACTCTTGCTGTTGTTGACAATACATGTGTAGGTGATCTCTGCATAATTCTTGTTTAGCATTGTCAATATTTTTACCCAAGTAGCTCCAGCAGAAAATGTACATGTAGGTCATATTGACCTAGTTCTTGTTATGACATATATACATGTATATCTACATGTATATCATAAGATGAATTAACCACTTGCTCAAAACAGAACCAGCAAAAATCATTTTGTAAATCAGCATTTGCATACTGACTGGAAAATCTATGATAAAGAGCTGTCCTGTTGTGGATGGGTATGACAAAAACATCTTGTAGCTGAAGTAATTTTCATCTATTTCTTAAATCACAAAATCGTTTAAAAAAAATATTTCACCGAAAAAAATGGGCCCACTAGTGGAGATGGGTTGAAGTAAATATTCTATCACTCAAATTTACTGGTATACATAAAAAATATCTAAATTCAAATAATTTGTACCTGTGCAATTCAATAGTCTTCTGTAAACAGTTCTTTCAAATATCAAAGGTATGTGTCTTAACAAATCACCTCTGCAATTCAGCAAATCCCTGAAGAAAAAGTTCAAATTTGTTAAGTCTGATAAAAATATATATACTTGTACATGAAATTTCTTTGTAGCTCAAGATTACTTCAGACCAATCTAATAAGTTGCAAATAACATTAACTAAGAAAATTATTTCCATAAGTATAAGTTATGCAGAATATGTTTTAACCCCTGAAAGCTAGCTATATATAGAGTTTCAAGGGCTCTGGGTTAAAACATTTTAGTAGATCAAAAATTGTAAATAAGGTAATGGGCCTAAGGCAGACCAAAAATATGTATGTGTTTAAAGTACTAAAAATACTGACCCTATATTTTATGATTAAAAATGCCTAAAGTACACTGGAAATTTTTTCTTGTCATTTTTTAATAGCACTGATAAAAACAACATATTCCTTACATTAAGCCTATAAGGTACAGTTATATCATCAAAATAGTTTTGTAAATTGTTGAAGGCCTATTTGAGAAAAAAATAGTTGTTCCTTTGATAACCTTACCTATACATAAACATTTCTGTAAGTTTTTAACGAGCCCTATTTATATTGCGTCAAATTATTTCCCCTTTTTAAACCAGTCAAAAATTTAAAAAAAAAATCATTTTCGTACCTATCTAACCTAATAATTTTCAGTTGTAGGTCTATTTTTTTAGGTCTAAATGCATCATTATGTATGAAACTTAAACATTTGTTAAAGAAATACATGTGAACCTTCCTTTGGAAGGGCAATAGTACATTTTTCAGGGCCAGGGGTCTCCTTCAGTTTAGAACAAACTCATATTTTTGGCATTATCACCATTTTTTCTTAACATTCTTTATAAAATATGAGAAAAAAAAAGTTTACTTCTTTTCAATCTATAATTATCTAACAGAAAAAAATCTGCCGAAAAACAAAATATGAGTCTGATAATGAGCCCCCCTTTTATATTCATGTTGAACCTAAACCATTTTCAATATTTTACAGTAAAATATATAATGGGGGAGGAGAATGGTGTAGGACCAAAATTATCTTTTGAATATATAATAATATGTAAATAGTGTACCTTGTGTTTAGAACCTAGAAAAAGGCCCTGATCATCTGGATTGGCACTGCTCTGCCTGGCTTTGATCCTTCCTTTGTGAGACGGTTGTGCACAATCAACATTCCTTCTCTTAATCTCATGCATATTCCTAGGGTTTGTTGGTGTTTTGGACAAACAAAGTATGAATGTTCATGTAAGTGGGAAAAGATCCCAATATTGTAAAAAGTCAATTTTCCCTCCGACTTGATTTTTGTCTAATTTTGAATATTTTAATCCTAGGGAAGTGGTTCAACAATTCTATTACATTGTCCAATAACCGTGTTGTCTTTTCATCCTTAGAATACTGTGAATTCCCTCATTCATCGTCAGATAAGATTGAAAAACTACAGTTCAACATTGTCTGCCACATGCATGACATCAGTATTGTTTACATCAAAAGAGTTCTGCTAGGGGAAGTAACTCTGTAAATTGTGTTCTTTCATGAACAAAGCAACAGAATCTTTGGAATGGAATTTTGACCAGTAGACAAAAAAACCCACCAGACGAAGGCTTAAACCTGAAATTTCTATTTGCTTAGTATTTATATTTGCAATCATTGTGATTGTACGGGTCTGGTAATAAAAAATATTGTGAATTGAAATTGCCTGAATTTACATAGGTTAATAGTAAAACATATAGAACTTCGAAGTGCTAATACATAATACTGCAATTGATTTTCTAAAATTTGATTATACAGTTCTATTTGGATTAACTAAAGGTAACATATTTTGTATATGAGATGAATATTTGAAATATGTCATGTTTTGATTTTTTTAGAATTTGCCTGATTCTTAGACAGACTGGCACTTAAATAGAAATCACAAGTGTTTAATTAATAATATTTGCTATGGAAATGAAATGTACTTTCATATACGATTGTTTTTGTGATGTGACAAAAATTACATTTTAAACTAGAAACATTTGAAATTATATTTTTTTATCGTTCTTGGGTTTCTTCGTAACTGACCTTTAATGTTATGATTCAAAAGTAAGTTAAGTTCTGAAGTAAAACGGTTTGCCATTTAAATTATTCCTGCTTACGTCAGACCAATATTGATATACTAAAAAATCAGAGTATTTTCATATCTACTGCCTGTACTGAAGAAATGGTCTTAAATGAACAATCTTCAACTACGACTTACTAAAAGCTTATTTGTAACAACACAAGGTTCCAACAACGTATTGGCTTCCAAAATTACACAAGAAATCTAATGAAATTTGTTTATATCTTCAACAAGGAAACGTTGAAATGAACATTACTGTTCTTCTGACTTGTGGTCTTACAACCATAAAAGCAGTTATTAATAAGTGTAACAGAGCCCATGTTTGAACCATTTCTGGGATCTTTGAAGTCTTTGATAAGCTATATTTTTTCAAAGGTTAGTTTGTCTCCATTGACAGTAAGGATTTATTTTTGTAAGCATTCGAATGAGATTTGATTTGAATGCCACATCTACAAACAGATTCAAACAAGAAAAGTTGTTTAAAAACAATTGTTATCTGTTTTGATACTGATACTTTTATGTAAAATAACAAAAATACCGAACTCCAAGTAAAAATTCAAAACGGAAAGTCCCTTATCTAATGGAAAAATCAAAAGCTCAAACACATTAAATGAATGGAAAACAACTGTCATATTCCTGACTTGGTACAGGCATTTCCTTAGTAAGAAAATGGTGGATCAAACCTGTTTTCATAGCTAGCTAAACCTCTCACTTGTATGACAGTCGCATATAATTTCATTATATTAACAACAATGTGTGAACAAAACAAACAAACATAATAGAAAAAAATGTCAAAAATAGGGGTACAGCAGTTAACATTTTGTTATCTTCTTAATCACTATAAGAACAAACAAATATGTCAACAAAGAAAAACAAAATGGCATATAGATAAAGCACATAAGCAAAAATGAAAGACAAGAATTAAAAAAAATGACCATAGCTCAATAACACAATGGGTAAACTACCCTTATTTATACTGACAGATGTAACGATTAGGACGTTAAATGACGTTTTCATTTTCAGTGTTAATTTATTCTATTGTAACTGTTAAATGATTTATTAACGTTTAACGTAAATCGACTTTTGTTCAACCCATTCAACTTCAATAGACAGAGTTTTTATCGTGACTTATCACGTACACGATTGCGTGCTTGATTCATTACTTGTTTGTGTCAATCAAAACATTATGATGCTTGATATGTCAGTAGTGAAAGATATGGTGGATGTTCGGGATAAAATGGTTTTAGCATTTCCGATCGGTATATTTTGCTTTGCATGCTAATAAATGTTTACATTTTAAGCTTCGTAAACTTTTGGTCCAAAAACGATTGAAGAAGGTCATTCTAAAAATACTTGTCTTCCTGACAGAAATTTATCAAAGCGATAATGTGTTCTAGATTTCACTGAAATGTGAGTCAAATTTTCTGATAAGTACACATCTATGTTGTTTTATGTATGATATCAAATCGAGAAAAAATTACTTTTAAACGATTTAGTTATGTATTTGTGTATAATTCTCATTTTCAGTACAAATTCAACAGTCTGTTGAAGAAACTAAAGAAGCATTCCATCAAGAATTGAAAACCCTTCAACAACAACTAGAATCAGTAACACAAGAAAAAATTGATTTGTCAGGTAAATTATTTATTTCGGAAAGTTTTAAAAACATTTAAAAGATAAGTATACAGAAAATGTGTGAATCAAATCTCGATCATCTCATGGTCGCATTTTCCTTGAAAAAACGACCCAACCGTCTGAAGTGAAATATGTCTAAGCAACTCACACAATTACATAATTTAATGAACTCTGAACTATTAAAACATTGTTATAAAGACGTACTTCTAAGTATTTTTTCTGTCGCCACCATTTATTTATTAATCGTAAGATTCTCAATATCGTAACTACTTTTTACTTCTGTCATAGATCCCAAAAGTCCACTCTGTTAATGTGACATTACCATCATCATTGTTATTTTCGTGGTGGAACTTTTATTTTCTAGAAATTTACTCTTCTTCAAATATTTTATAAGTAATCGATGCAAATTTGTTCGATTGGTTTATATTGTATTGTGAAAATGATATGTATATGTTAGCGGCAATAATTGAAATTTTGCATGAAGCTTAAATCCTAGGCAATAAGGTAACGCCTAGGCAATAAGATAACGCCTAGGCAGTAATTTTATTGCCTAGATAATGTTAGGCATTACTTTTAAATCCGAGGATTTAAACTTAAATCCTGAAAATTATGTCCATGCTTTAATGTTAACGCCTAAAATGAAAATGAGAGTAAATAAAAAGAAATTTATTCAAAGTTAAAATACATTTTGTGCATAATAGAATAATAAGAATATTTACTGAAGTTTAAATGTCAGTTACACGACATAAAATCATTAGTAAAATATTGATATAAAAACACATTGAATAAACCTCTTAAAATATATGTAAACTTGTTGGATAGTTGTCTCATTGGCAATCATACCACATCTCTTTTTTTTTATTTTGATAGAAAATTGTCTTGAAATTTATTTGTTACCACTTGGTGCGGAGCTATGGCACAGACTAGTATAGTATTTCACAGTTTAAAGTTTTTCTAGCATTTGCAGCTGGTGATCGTGCAATACCTTTGTATAGAGCAGAATTCTTTTGTATATGGACTAATTTGATTCCAAATGACCACTGTTAATTCTTTGTTCCTCATCCATGCAGTAAGCATGTCATGAATACTTCTGTTTGACCAGAGACATATAATACATGTATTATATTTTCTGGTTTGACCACTCTTGTTGGCTTTCCGTGAACAACAAGTAGTTTTGGCCACATTATCATTAATTCAGATAGAACCATGATAACCCATGCTGCAAATTCACGATTTTTGACACTTTGCTGTTTATGTGGGACACCAAATATTGTGAAATCATAAATTAAATTTGAGGCCATCTTTGAAACACTTTTTGACGTAAGAGCTCTAGTAATATATTTTTTTTATGTGATCTTGGTACACCATAAGAAAATATAGTTTCCATCTTACTAGTACTTTGATTGGAAATCCAATAAATCAACCTGTCCTCTTCTGTAAAACTCTTTGGATAAAACGGGGTTTACTACTACTCCCTTCCCTATGCACTTTTTGTCATGTTACAATTTTCACAAAATGGAAGAAATAGTACAATGGAATCATGGAAAATGTTTGCCAAACCTTTATTAGATTGTTTAATTGTACGGTCTATAATAATAATAGGCCGCTATGACATATTTCTTTATGTGTTTTTCCCAAAAATACCATACAGTTCCTCTAGAAAATCATCAACATTGAAATTTCCCTCATCATTCTCTTTTATTTAGTAACCAGTCTTTCAAAACTCCAATGGTAAATAAGTCATACCATTTTGAATAGTAATATGCCACAGCTGCCTTCTTTTCTGATTTTAAAAGTTTAATCTTTGCCAAATGATCATTGTGATTTTGCCTTGGGTAGATGATCTTTGTATTCCCTGATTCAAATTCATATTCAGCAAAGGTTCAAGAAATTTGTTGTTGTCTAAATGTAAAAAATCCAGATTAAGAAGTGAAAACACAAGAAGAGTATTTAAGAAAAATTACATATCCACTAAAACAGATGGAAAGATGATGTGACTGGCAAAGTTTTATATCTTCAGTTGTTTATTTTTGACCAAATCAAACCGGCTCGACCAGTGAAGAGTGAACTTTCTTTAAATAATTTTCAGATAGAATCTTCAATTCTCCCCTTTTCCATTAGATACAATTATTTGTTTAAAACCCATTTTTTGCAATACCTAAAAGAAATACGAGTAAGTTCTGTTTTGAATACGAAAAAATACTAAAAATTGAATATCTTTTAAATCAGTTTATATTAATTTTTGGAATATCATTTTTAAAATATAATACATCAAGAGTATTTCACCGAATGTACATGTATTTGGAAGATCCCAAAGTTAACTTATTGCCTGAAATGATGTTTGGCAATAGTTTGAATAATCTTCAACAGATTTCAGGAAATAAGCTTAATGCCTGAAAATTTCAGGCAATAACTTAATGCCTATGCGTTAGCTGATTGCCTAGGATTTAGCGTAATGCCTAATTTCACTTATTGCCGCTAACATATACATTTATAATTTTTACAGTTACTAATTAACGACTCTTGTAAGATTTCATCTTTTACTTATTTCAGAATGCAAATGCCAACTTGAACAGGGTCTAAAACGTGAAAAATACGAGCTTGTTGAATGGAAAGAAAAGGCAATTAAATTAGAAAGTGAAAAAGGTTTGCTGAAATGATTTTTTTAAATAACACGTCAAGTTATAGTCAGAAGAATACTACACGTTAAAATGCAGATGGCATACTTATAAAAGCAAACAAATATTTCAGTGGTTCTGTAACAACATAAAAAGGCAAACAATATCCAAAGACTTCTTTCGATTGTTTATCGTGTGGATTTTTATATTTAGAGGCTATTCTTCAATTCATAGAATCATTATCTGCATTCTGTTTCTAGTAGTGTGATTTTTGTGTTATATGAATCATATGTCTTTTATCTATTATATTTTTTTAAACGAAGTGGTATCTATACAAGAAAATGATTACAAGGTTTTGATTTGCACTCAAATATTTTTAAAAACAAAAAGCGGCATAACTTAAACAATCCTTTCTATGTAACAAAGCTGCTAATGAAATGAATTGAAGCCAAAAAAGAAATAGTTCGCTCTTTTTGATTTATTTATGGAATAAATAAAGTTTCATAATGAAAGAATGAAATGACTGGAAAGTATTCGAACTAGAATATGACCTGATATCACCCCCATTTTTTGGTGGTGTTCGTGTTACTCAGTCTTTAGTTTCCTGTGTTTGTCTGTTGGTCTTTTTCTTAGCCATAGCGTTGTCAGTTTATTTTCGACTTATGAGATTGATTGAAGCCCCTTTGTTATCTTTTGTCTCTCTTTTACTTATTGAAAATTATCGTTTATATGCAATTTTATAAAGTTGCTGCAAAACATAATATTCAATTGATGAAATGACAATTTTTAATAATTTTGAAATTGAAAAGATGCTTATGAAAGTATTGGTGCATTTTTCTGTGAAAATCGGCGATTAAAAACAATTTGCATTGACAACTTTGTATTATTGAAGACTGTATAATACACAAGAAGGAATAACAGGATTGCCAAAATACCACAAATCGCAGAGTTAACATGCCACTTTACCACATTAAGCAGACTTTCTAAAATAACCAGACATACAATAAAGAAATACCACAACGAATAACATATTTTTCAGATAGCTGGACTTGGTATAGGAACAATATGTGTTGGGTTAAACCAGTTTAACCTCACATTATCATGATGTATTTTGGTTTTTTGTGTGTGTGTCTTGATTATGTTCTTATTGATGTATGATCCATAGTACTTGTATTCATACTTTAACTTTGAAATTTTTTTTCAATTTGATACAGCAACCAAAATACAACATTCAAAAGACATTTTTCAAGTTCAATTGAATATGTACGATGCAAATGGTCAAATCACTGAATTACTCAGTGAAAGAAAATCATTTTTACAGTACAATTTAAAAATAACGGATAGCTACCTTTTTATCTTTTGTAATTAATATCCTTGTTATTGTCAGGAATTTCTACAAAATGTTTATTTTTTTCTCACTTTAGTAGAGAGAGATCGACGGGAACAAAAACTTGAGAAAGTCATTGAAGATCTCAGAGGATGGAAAGAAGAGTCAGTCACTCAAGAAGGTTTGTCGGTTATATCATTTTCTTTTCATTCCTGCATATATATATCGGCCAGACCGGAAATGCTTTCTCGGCGCTCTTGATTGCCCATCGCCAACTAATACGTGACCCGGAGAATGTAATGATCCCACTGAGTAAAAAGACTTGCAAACCCAACTTTTCAATTACAGTTGTCAGTAAGTTTGGGATATGGTTGCAGATGTTGGATTGATTATATTGCAGTTACAAAATGTAAAATAAAATATGATATACAAAAAATGTGATCTGATTATGAAATTACATAAAAGTTTATTAAATATGTTGTAGCTTGTCATCTGATTGATGTGTTCACATTTTTTGTCAAGCCTGCGGCATTTATGTCGCAAAAGCGAGACATAGCGATCATAGATTCCGTCGTTGGCGTCGGCGGCGTCAACATTTAGTTTCAGTCTATGATTAATGTTTTTTTAGACATCCATTACTTTGTCACACTTTCATTGGAATTATGAAACATGGCCACAATCAACTTTAGGGTATCTAGTTTAAAAAATGTGCCCGATGACCTCGCCTGCTAAGCAACATGGCCGACATGGCTAAAAATAGAACATAGGGGTAAAATGCAGTTTTTGGCTTATATCTCTGAGACTAAAGCATTTATAGCAAATCTGACATAACCAAAATTGTCAATTGACCCCTTAAGGAGTTATTGCCCTTTATAGTCAATTGTTGGTAAATTATTGTAATCTTTTACAAAAATCTTCTCTACTTAATCTACTAGGCCAAATAGAATTAAACTTAGCCACAATTTTTAATAGGGTATCTTGATTGAAAAATGTATCCGATGCCCCTGTTACCAACCAACATGGCCGCCATGGCTAAAAATAGAACATAGGGGTTTACTATAGAAGTCTAAGGGAAAATTGTGAAAAAAACAATTTCAAATGGTCACAACTTGAAAACTGATTTGAATAATGATAAGGGGTCTTCAGGAACTATTGTAAGACTTCAATGGGATGACCTGAATTTAACTTCTGGGCCAAATTAAACCAAATTTGGCCTCAATCATTATAAGAGTATCTGATACTATTAATTATGATTTTAACCTTATTTTACATGATTTCGAAAACAACAGTAGATACAGGTGAGCGACACAGGCTCTTAGGAGCCTTTAGTTTTTACAGTTAACATTCATATTGAGTCTGAAATTAAAGTTTTTCAGTCATTAATAACTTTGTTAAACCTTCATGGAATTTTATAAAAATTTGGACAGAAGCTTAGTTATGACCAAAATACAGAATTCAGACCAAAATTGTGAAAATATCTATTTTAATTTTTCCGTATATTACTAATAAATAGACTTAGTTCAAGTTTGTTACATATCAACTGCTTTGTCAAACCTTCATTAATAATATGATTAAGAGATAATGTCTGAAGCAAACTGTAGAAATTATTTTTTTTCATTTTCAATATCTTTCTGATAGATTTTTCTTAGTTTTTTACTGTTAACATTCACGCACCAGTCTGGGATTAAACTCTTTTGACATGATAAATTTGTAAACCTTCGTGGATTGATATGAATTTTGGACAGAAGCTAATCTTCAAGACCGTGAAATAGCATTATAAGAAAAAGTTTGAATTTGTTTTTAAATTCTGTATTTTACTGATGAATGGACTCACTTTTTAAGTCAACATTTCACTTTAACACTCATTGCAGCAGGCGGGACAAACGGTTACTCGGAACCCCTCACGATTTAATTAAAGAATTGGATGGTAGGCGATAACCCCAAAATATTAAGATTTATATTGTCATTTCTATGTCCGTTGCAACTGTAATCCGCCATTTTTTTGGGCGAAAATGTATTTAGTTGGAGAGAAATGGGCGTTAATAAAACAACACATTTAATACGATTTCTGCTTTTAACTTTTATACTTTTTATTTGTAGCTTGACAAACATTTCATCAAAAATTCTAAGATAGACGGTCTTAGAGGATCGCTATTATTCTTCATTTGTCCCTATTGGTGACATTGAACCCCGAATATTTATTTATTTCGCCTTAAGCAATGAAAAGTTTTTTAACAACGATTTTAATTAGAATGAATATCAATTGCCAGATGTTATGACTGAAAGTTGGAAAGAAATTAAAGAGAAGACTGACTTGAGGCTAACATCATTCGAAGTAGAATTGATTTCGGCTCGCCAAGAAAAAGAAAAATTTCTCGGTAAGCTAAAAGGAAGCTGTCGCTTTCTGAAAAACATTAGTTCGCTCAGAACAACAGAATCTGTCAATCAATACGTGATAACACATTTTCTACAGATTTGTTATTATTGTAGTCTCCATTTTTTAATAATGACCCAGATGCAATGACTAACACATTTTGAGATGAAGAGTATACACTTTACTTAGAAAGACTGAACAATCATCAAATTTACAAAGTCATAGACACAAAAAAATATAAGACAGCTAAACTTTGAAGGAATTTTTTCAGGGTAAATATGTTCTTGAACAAAATCATTTACGATTTCGATTCACTGTTCAAATATTGTGTTTTTTCCTAAACAAACACAAGCAACTGGCCAGTTTTTATTGCACAATGGTGTAATTGAATTTCTAATCACTTGATATGAGTGAACTGAAATTAATGAATTATTATCATTATTATTACTATTATCATTATTATTATTATTATTATTTGTGTAGGTAAGCATATTCAGGTATATTATTATTATTCATTGTGTAGGTAAGCATCTTCAGGTATGTCGAGTCACATTTTTTTAAGTACCCACTTTTTAAAATGCGCGTACTTGATATCTCTGAAACTCAATTACTCCATGATTGAAAACAAAAGATTGAGATCTTAAGCTGTTGTCATGTGTTTCTTGAAACCTCTGCTTTCAATCCTACGTATTCGATAATTTGTAACCAAAATCAATAAAATAAGGAAGTGAAGCTTGATTTCACTTCAAAACAATTCTGTGTTAAAAACCTGTAAAAAAATTAATTTTTTTTAAACTCGTATTAAGTTCTTAAAACATGTAGACACAAAGACGACGAAACATCAAAATAGATTTTAAGAAATATCAAAAACTTATATTAGCAGGCTGTTAAATGACATATTTTTTTATCAATCAAGAAAACTATATAAGGCGTCATAAGGTAAGGTTGTATCAGAAGTAACTGGAGTTAACCTATTTCTATTCCTTATTTTGTCATTTTCCCCGTATTTTAGAATACTTTTGAGCAACTATCCTAATTATATGGCTATGATAAACGGAAAGCTTTTAACATCACTTTTATATTTATAAACAAATCATTTGTTCCGAATGTTAAAGATCTGTTTTATTGGCACGGGGTGCATGGAGCACTTTTCAAATGATAGAAATCTAATATGACGTTCTTCAAACGCTTTGGGTACACACCCTTGGTAAATTTCGAATATCTTCATATGTTAGCTGATGGGCAACGTCATCTTTTTATGAATGATTTACCTCACGTCAGATTGTGTAAATGACGTCATTGAACGATGACGTAATAATGTAAGGATTTTACTGTAAAATGCACGAATTGAAACTGAAAGTCGTCAAAACATGAAAAAATAAACAAACGATGGTAAGAATTTGTATGATGTCCATATCTTCTTAAATGAAAGTAAGGTAGTTAATTAAATTCATCCAAATTTGTCTCAGTATGTTATTATATATCGTTTAAGAATGTTACTTATTCAATTTTCTTCGTTGTTTACTTCAATATTATTAGTGTGTTCAATTATGGGAACATCACACATTTCCCTTGACATAGAGCGCTTCAATCACAAATAATTGCTGTCTTTGTCTAATAGAATAGAAATAATTCATGTGGGCTTGAATTTATATTGATTTTACCGCGGGTTTGCCCTTTATGCTGATATTTTACCCCTCGCTATCGCTCGAGGTAAAATATTTAGCATAAAGGAACAACCTGTGGTAAAATCACAATAAATTCAAGCCCCCATGAATTATTTCTTAAATAGTTTGACTCAAAAGAGTGCAACTTCCAAATTCGTTTGGCTTTCACAACGGAAAGTCTTCCAAATCAACTTTACATTGAAACATAGATCATTGTTCCATAATTTAAATATCTCTTTTGTCTGATGAGGTTTTCTGGTTATTTTGGTTAAATAACTACTAGTTTTTTGTTTAATGGAACACATTTCAGAGGATAAAAATCAACTTGAAGAACAATTATTACAAGTGAATGACGAATTGGAAAGATGGAAACAAAATAATGCCCGTCTGGAAAGTCAACAAGGTATGTTGGATTAAAGACTAGTAATCATTTATTTATAATTTTGATGGTGTTTTTTTTTTTTATTGGGGGGGGGGATACTATATATCACATGATGCAGTTATTATTTATCACACCTTACTCTTACCACTTTCTGTGTTTGAAGATATACTAAAGTAAGTCATTATAATCTTAAAATTTTATATTTCATAAAACTTGCGACTTTCAAATAGGAAAATCACATATTTTTTTCCTCAGCATACCCTTCGTTTCCTAATATTTTAAAACACTTTTCAAAGATACACCACTGACATCTTTTTATAAGGTTACTTTTATTTCCTCTCTTTTATGAAAGGCTATTTTTAAGTGATTTCTAGTGAATAAATTAAAGACATCATTTTTTTTATATGCTTCAATTACAAAAAACAAGAGCGCAAACTATTTCTATTTTTCCAGAACTTGTTATGCTGTACATTCTTTACTTTGGCCTAAACTTCAATAAATTAGTTCATTTCGCATTTTACAAGTAGATGAATTTTGCGATTGATTAACTGACTGAATCAATTTAAATATTGCATTTATTGTTTAAAGCTTATCCGGCAATACATTATGTTAAAGAGAGTCGGAACTTTTACGTTTTAAGCTTCTTAGACTTTTGATCTGAAGATGAGTGATAAAAGTTATTTTGAAAACACTTGAACACCTGAAAGAAATTGGTCAAAGCGATGGTTTGTCTAAAATTTCAAAGTAATCAGAGGTAGACGTTGTGGGCGATTTACATCTAAAATGTTGTTTTAATTATGACCTAAACTCAAACAACTTTTACAAGCGGTTAAAATTTGATTTACAGCACAAAGTCAACAGTCCATGGAAGAAACTAAAAACTCCATCCAGCAGGAGTTGGCAAACCTTCAACAACAATTAGAATCAGCTAAAGAAGAAAATTTTAATTTATTAGGTAAATTATTTATTCGGGTATGTTTTCCGAACATATAAGTGTTTTGTATACAGAAGAGTGTCCGTCATACCTTGATCTTTTTCTTAGTAATGATGACAAGTGCCTAGACAGAACATCCAATTGTTTGCTTTGCCTTACTGAGATTCAACCGAAGCTTTTAACAATCACATAATTGAATGAAATCTGATTGCATATTCAATAATACAAAAAAAAATCCTATCAAATTATGATGACAAAAATTAAACCATTGCCGTGACGTCAGCCTATTCATTTACCTTGGTTTCATTTTTAAGAGTCAACGCTTCCTAAATCTGTCGATGAAATGGACTCACAAAATTGTATTTATTTGTTTCCTGTGTGTGCTTAATTTCATTAAGTTTGAATTGGCTTATTTACTGGTTTCTGTTCACTAATGAAATTAATGTAAAAACAAACTTACCTTTATGTTTTTTCATTTTTATTTGCCTCCACTGGGAATCAAACCCCTCCATGAAGTCAATTATGTATGACTGATATCAAACACACCGACAAAATATCTCGGCTACCAATGGGTTGAAATTAAGATCTCTATTTTACATATATCAATGAACATACATTAATTTTAAAATATGATAAACACAAGGCTTGGACCTTTATACACATATATGATAGACGATCTATAGTATACGTTGGTATGTGCGAGGTTCAAATGAATGAGTTGTTGAATCAATGTTACAAGTAGAGATTTGTCGGTTTGATTCAAATCCCTGTTTTCTCTTTATTGTGCCTTTTTATTATTTTTCCTTTTTTCTAATTTGGTGTGTTATAAGTCCCCTACTGACAAAGTCGAAGGGGACTTTAGGTTTGCACTCCGTCACTCTGTCTGTCTGTCTGTCTGTCCATCCGTCAGTCCGGCAAATCAGTTTGCCACACTTTTTTTCTTCGAGCTTGAAGATATTGATTTGATATTTGGTGTATTGTATTATCATGACAAGTTACAGATCAATTTAAAATTTTGTTCCGGTCTGACGATTTTGTGCAGAGTTATGGTCCTTGGACTTAGAAAATTCACTCAAATAATCAGTTTTCTGCACTTTTTTTCGTCATGCTTGAAGATATTGATTTGATAATTAGTATATAGTTTTATGATGACAAGTTACAGATCAAGTTCGAATTATGTTCCGGTCTGATGATTTTGTGCAGAGTTATGGTCCTTGGACTTAGAAAATTCACTAAAATAATCAGTTTTCCACACTTTTTTTTCGTCATGCTTGAAGATATTGACTTAATATTTGTTATATAGTTACACCATGACAAGTTATAGATCAAATTAGCATTTTGTTCCAGCACAATCAATTTTTAATCGGTAGGGGACTATGTATTGTCATGCAATACTCTCAGAATGCTTGTTGTTAATATGTTTGCAATAAGAACAGATTTCCGTGTATTTTTGGTTTATTGTGGTAGCTTCCTCGCCTCGAGTTGAGCGAGGGAAGTCTTCGGTTCGATCCTCGTCCGGTTAAAATTAAAGATTTGCTACCTCTCTGCTAAGCACGCGATATTTAAGAGTAAGAGCAAAGATTGGTCGGTCTGTATTCAAAATAATGTGTCCGGGTAGGGTGACATGCCTCCCTGTGGACTATTATCTTGTGATCTTGTGAACTAGCACGTTAAAAAATTTGAAACGCGTGTCGGTCTAGTACAAAGTCGGGTTCATATTTATCTTCTCGTCCTGAATATTGATATTCAAACAACATATGCAATAAACACTTATGGTCCTACATCCTGTTGATACTTATATTTAAGTTTTGGGCAAAATCGTGATCTTTTGCACTGAATTGGGAATAAAAACATTTAAAAGGGAAAAATTAGCGTGCCGTTTTGACTTCATAGTGCATCGAAATCTTATTATTTGAAGTTTTTCTATGTTTCTAACTTATAACGCATTCACTTCAATAATTCTGTTTCAAAAACAAATTCGGTGGCCCTCTATAAATTGTTTAACAATAGAATAGATAAAATTACTATAAGTAAAAGTACTTCAAGGAATATAAATATTTTGCCAGGAAACGTCTTTCGCATTTGAACTCAAAAAGCATTCCCATTAAACAAAACAACACAGAACGATCCTTAATCGAGAACACCTTTGAAAATACAACTACATAGGACATTTTGTATCTATAAATTGTATAATAAATGGAAAAGAATGTTATCTAGAATTTAAATGGAAGTGATAGTCTTATCTCAAATTTAACTTTTAACAATAGAGAAAGGCTAACTAACACTGATTTCGACATTTCTAAAATTGATAAAAAAAAATATTTTCCCCACAAAAATATAAATAAATAAATGGAGAAAGAAAGAAAGAACATCAGATGATGAAAAAAATAATCATGTTCATAATGGATCGTCATCTGCAAAGTATATTGAAAAATAATTTTCATAATCAAAACCATGAAAGATAACTGAAATCGATCGTATAATAGGTAAGTGATACGTGTGTTTATACGTGATCTTATGTCAGTGATAATTAGGGCGGGAATCTGGCGAACCACGTGATAAATAAAAATGCATGATTTCTATCATTTTTCATCATGTTAAAATTATTTCATATGGACGACAATTCCAGTGTATGATTTTAAAAGTCTTGGAATACTTTGTTGAAACTTACACGGGGTATTTGGCCAAGTCAATAGTTGGCAATAACCAGTCCCATTAGGTCCGTACGTCGAGTTACGTACGTATGTCATTTTATTGGAAATCTCTAGTACACTAGAGTTTCGGTAACATACGTATATATATAAATATACTTAGAAATTTGTTCGAATATGCCTTATTTTGTAAATTACAGATAATATTCAGATTAATAATATTTAAGTGGAAATTTCAGTACAGTAAACTGATAGTACATTCGATTTTGTAATTAAAAATCATTTCATGATTTTAATCCACTTCCTATATACTTTTGATTGTTTTTTGTTTCTTTCATTTAAGATATAATTAGGTAGTTATTTGAAATCACGGATAACAGGGTCTAATTAATGAAGGAGACGTCTCAATAATAGTTTAAATAATAGAGACAATGGGTTGAGCGTTCCTGGTGAATGTAGAATCCAGAGAAGCGTTTCGGACGCAGCAAATGTATAAAGTTTTATTTTCATTTTATAAAGACTAACTACATGGTTATTTCTTCTATTTTCATCATGAATTTGTTTATCGTTACAGAAAAAAATATATGATTGTGAATGAGACAACTTTCAATCAGAGGCCAAATGACGTAGAAATTAGCAACAATAGGACTTCGTTAGACCTTCACAAATGAACAAAACCCATACGGCATTGCCAGCTCCAAGAAGCGTCGACATGACAAATGTGAAAAAGTTTACCTACATCTTTATCTGTTTCATACGTGAACCTGTAAAACAAACTGGAAGATACCACAGAGAGAATTAAAATTTATAGGTCGAAGAGAGACCAACGAAAGCATGTAAAAACAACAATGAAAATTGAATATATAACATAAATAGAACAATCCCTTCAATTATAACATGAACAAAAACATTTAAAAAAATTAGTGTTACTAACTGCAAACTGTACTTATGTTTTCATTCTTCACTCATTTCAGAAGGCAAAAATCAGTCGGAACGGGAATTGGAAACTGTGACAGGCGAGCTTGATGAATCTAGAGAGAAAACGAATGAATTGCAAAATCAAAATGGTATGCTGAAATGTATAAATCTCTATTTAGTGCATCAATTTATGTCCGCTTGGCATCATTATCTCGTTCTGTACTACTGTTTGTGATTTGAAAAATATTGTTTCTGTCATAAAAAAAAGACACAAATACAAATCGATTATTGAAAGTGTATCACATAAAACAAATTAAATATCAGTATCTCGACAAAATATGAAGCCTGTAAAGATCCTACTCTGTGCCCACTCGTCAGTAGGTTTTCATATTGTGACTTATAGCTGATATTTTACGGTATCAATATTCAAAACCTGATAATTGGTACTTATAAATCAGAAGATGTGGTATGAGTGCCAATGAGACAAATCTCCATCCAAGTCACAATGTATAAAAAGTAAACAATTATAAGTCAAAGCCTTCAACACGGAGCCTTGGTTCACACCGAACAGCAAGCTATAAAGGGCCCCATAATGACTAGTGTAAAACAATTCAAACAGGAAAACCAATGGTCTAATCTATATCAAAAAACGAAAAACGATAAACACTTATAAAGCACACCAACAAACGACAACTACTGATCAACAGGCTCCTGACTTAGAACAGGTGCATAAAAATGCATAGGGTTTAAACGTCTTAAAAGGCGCCAACCTTCACCTTCACACTTAACATGTTTAACTATCACATATTTGTTATGGGCTGACGCTGTAATGCCTAGATAAACTCGTTTCAAAAATTCTACATTCAATTGTATTTCTTCAAATATTATACAGATTAGTATCAAAATATAAATGAAATCCTTCAAAATATTAACGTGTTCGCTTTGAATAACCCATATGATAATTGATGTAAAATGTACTGTTTGAAAATATCTGTTAACAGAAGAAATTCAGCAATCTTTAGAAGAAACTAAACATTCCCTGCATCAAGAGTTGTCATCACTTCAAAACCAACTAGACTCTGCTAAACAAGAAAACTCAAATATACAAGGTAATTTACAAATCAGGGTTTTTTTTTTCACGGGCAGCTGTAATTTTTTAATTTTTAATTTTTAATTTGTTCATAATATCTTTTAAAATTATTATTTTCATATGAATGGATGCTCAGACAGAATTACTTGTTATATTTGCACAATATACTTTTTAATGATCAAAAGTTTTATTTTCGTTCCATTAAAATACCAGGACACTGCGTATAACGCGTAAATTAAATGTTCTTGTGTTCTAACCAATTAATTTAGATATATTTATAATTGAAACTTAGTGTTGTTTTGTTAAACTCTTTTATGTTGAATATTGAAAGTGACGTTGACATTCATACATCTTGACAAGCTTTAACAGTTTAAAACCTTTTCTGACATTACTCCTGTTTAACCCTTTTTAGATGAGAAACATCAGCTTGTCCACGAACAACAGCTCCTCAGGAAAGAATTCGAGGAATGTAAAGCGAAGCTATCTCAGTTGGAAAACCGAAAAGGTAATTCTAGAAAGTTATTCTCTGTAACAATGTACAGGTTTGCTCTATCTGTTCGAAATCAAATATAGTTTTATTTGCTAGATAATGCTTGAAATAATATCTCTCTATATACACGTAATTGGCATGTTTAATTTACGGTCATTTTCTTTTAACTTACTGTGTGTAGTAATCATTTCAAACATTAAGACTTTTCTACTCATATGCATCGATGGCCTCAGCCATATTTAGCAAAACTTTTTAGAATTTATTTAAATGTTCTGAAACTTTGTCCATTATTTTGCCTCCAAAATGATATAAATTTTTGTTATAGGCTTATTACAATGTATCCTAAAAATTCATAGCTAAAAGTCTGCATAATAGTGGAATATAATTGAATATTGTGAACCCCAATGGTAATAATGAAATGTGTATGCAGAACTACTTCAGTCTTTTAAATTCACGAATGCAATTCAATCAAAAGATAATATTAAACCAAAACATTTGCTTTTTCAGAGCAACTTAATATATCTACTAAAGTCATCGAAGATACCATAAAACAAGAGTATTCATCAATTCAAAGGCATCTAGAATCAAATGGAAGTGAGGGACAGGATTATACAAGATTAAGTGGTAAGTAAACATAATGTCTTTCATTTATACATGTATGTACCATTTATTAGTACATGTAAAGATGTAGGTTGTACGAACATGCAAATAAGATAGCAACCAAACAACACAAAAACAAAAAAAAACAGTTTATATGTCACTGACAAACAAGTCAATGAAATTGCCTCAATATTAAAGGTGATGTGGTATGATTACCAAAGGAACAACTATCTTTAAACCAGGGCAATAAGTTTGGTATTGACGGCAGATACTTGGTATGTAGTAGATCACAAGTTTAGATAACGCATATTTTATTGGAAAATATTGAAAAAAAGAATTATGTTCAAACTTTTGTTGTAGTTAGTGAATAAAATTTTTTGTTGTGATTCGATGTTAACTTTGTAATCATATACGTTATAAGAGCAGCACGGAAGAAATGTTAAACGCAGAACTGTGATAAAATTAGATAGTTTTCATTTAATATATACTTTTGAATTCAATGAGCTTATTTGTCAGTCAGCTTGTTTAATACTACCGGATGTTATAACTTCTAGATCCAATACACGTTCATCTTGTAAGTAGTTAAGTCTATTCCTAAGTATATGATGTAAAAGAGGAGGTACAATAAGAGCCATTATTTAGCCAATTAAATACCAAAAATTACTCGTGCCATTCAAAATTATGATAATTCTATTTATAAATGAACAGGCTAATTTACCTTTCCCACACAACAAATTAAGGATATTGGGTGATAATTCGATCTATCACTCTTATTTGATATAGCGATAACATTGGCAATTGTGTAGATTGACGGATATTTTGACAATTTCCCCCTACTTCCACTTCTGTTATAGTTGCAAATGTATCTTAAAACGATCAATGTATTTTTGCGACACTAAACTGTTTGATTAACAAATTAATAAAGAATCAAGGCTTTATACATTTTCCATGATGGCTACGTATCAAAATGCATTGCTGTAGTTTGTAACTATATTTTTTTGTTGGGATTCGATAGTAGCTTTGAAATCATATGTATCGATATCATATCAATTCTTTAGTTGATTCGTGTCATATTCATACTACCTCCTGTGACTTGTTGAGAAAATTTCCGATGAAATACTGGGTTTTCCATTCAGTCACAGAATGTCCTAAGAGCCGGATACATGACCTTAAATAATTTTTCAAGCAGATGAAAGTTTTCATAGAAACGACATTGAACGAATTGGACGACATTTCTCTTTAGATTTGAATTGTTAACAGCTAAGTTTTCGAAATGTTCTGTTATTTCAGATGACAAGGATCGGCTTGAAGAAGAATTGATGCATGTTAATAGCGAACTTGACGAAATGAAAGAAAAAGTAGTGGAGCTGGAAAATGTAAAAGGTAAATGATCACAAATATTAAAATGTTCAAATATGCTTCTACACAAAAACGAGTGTGGCAATTGAATAACATGGAATTGTTCTCTATAACTCTCATTACTCCTCCACAATAAAAAGTAATCCAATTGAAAACAGGCTTACCCCTATCCAGCCTTGTTATGAATCGTTTCAAACAACGCAGTACTAGGTAGATAACAAAAGCTGAACAATCACGAATTAATTAATTAAATTACATGCATGCCACTAGTGCATGAATATTAGTATTTTTTTACTTAAAATCATCTCAAAAAATTATTCAGTCATATTTAGTCTTTCAGTCAATTATCAGACTTATCCAGAGGTAAATTAAGTACTGTTCACACAATTCGTTTGCAGTCAATTAAGATCTGTTCAGTCTATGTTCAGGCTGTGCAGTAGTCACTTTCCTGTACATATCAACATCATACTGAATTGTCTGAAAGCTACTTAACAGAAATAAACTAATTGCAAGCGAATAGTCTGAACAGTACTGAATAACCGCAGTGAATAAGTCTGGAAATTGAATGAAAGACTGAAAATTACTAAATGATTTATTGTTCTATCTTTTATGACTTTCTCAGATCAACATGAGCGATTCAGATCAAAATTGGTTTACTAGAGGAAAAGGACTGATCAGATTTACATTGACTGCAAGCGATGTGTCTCAACATTACTTAATTTACATCAGTGGATAATCTGAAAATTGTCTGAAAGAATGAACATGACAGATGAATTTATTGTTCGGTCTTTAAAGATCTGTTGAGATCTAAATAGCTGTTTCACTAGTTTATAGTTCTTAGAACAAAGTCTTCAAATGAATATTTAGATAAAATGAAAGAAGAATCCAAAACATACAAATTAAATAGATAACCAATACCAGTAGTTACTATGATGCATTTAAAATGTTTTTAACTAAGCCTCTCCTAGAATGTTTTCCTATTTCAGGAGAAAAAGATCAATTGGAACAAGAACTTGACAGAATGAGAGAAATAGCAGGCCAGCTAGAATCTATGAAAGGTAAAGTAAAATAAAAATACTCATTGTTTAGCTATTCTCGGCAGTGTCACAAAGAAATAAAAAAAAAATAGAGTCTGCATTACCTATGTCTTTGTGTAAACTTGAGACACACCAGCGGACAGAAGCCCCTTATTGTCACATACTGAATTGTTTCATCGACTAAATAAGGAACTCTTACCGAATAAAGGCTGATCCCTCCTGATCCAAAAGTGAATTCGTCCATTATTACAAGAGCCATAAAATCGCAGTGTTGATTTGACTATTAAGATTTGCAGAACATGCGACCTTTGAATTGAAAATAGTAACATCATTAAATGTATTTCGATGAATAAATCTTTTTTTTAAACCAGTCTCCGCATTTTTCACGTGCTTATCAAATTTTCGAAAACGTTTTTTATATATATAATATATACATGTATGATTTTGTGGTTTGCATTGGTCCGTATCGACGTTATTTGCAAATAATGCTTCTTATCTTTTTTCAGTAAAATTGATTTGTAACTGCTAGTGTTTTAAACATTACTGAGACGAATTTAAAAATACAAGTAGTCGTTTAATGTATAAGGTCAAAAATATATATTAGAATCAATTAAAAAAGAATCAACGAAAAATCAAATATTTTATTTGCCATGTTTAGCGACGACATATGGTAGGTCATATTTTTTAAAACAAACTATACAAGTATAGGTATAAATCTAGTAACGAGTTTTAGTATACAAACAATAAAATACACAAAAACGTTTAAATTATATTTATTTTTTATCTTTTTATTGTTTAAATCTAATACAGAGGAAACCGAAAGGTACCGGGCACAATATCAACAGATCAATGACCAGTTGAGGACCACTGAACAACAACTGGAACAATCATATCAAGAATGCGAAGGACTGTCTGCAGATCTTGGTGAGTAGAGTAAAAATTTGATGAATAGCGAAGCCATTTCCAACACATACAATATAAATATGGCAAATCTTAAGGATTATTTTAAGGAAAAAATAAAGATATAAAATTAAAAGTTAAAGGTAGTCATGTATCATTTTACGCACATATTTTCTAGTTTAAGATCATGATATTTTTATACCTGCATATATTTTTTTTTAATCCAAAGATTGTATTTTAAACTCACAATAATACTTAGCAATTAAGGTACCGTCGATTTTGAATGTTTTTAAAAATGTTAAGTCGAGTAACATATGTTTAAACTTAGTTTTACTGTGCGTATTGCTGTGTGTTTGTTTATTATGCATTGGCTAGAAGTATAGGGGAGGGTTTAGACCTCACAAAACACGTTTAACCCCTCTGCACTTTTGCGCTTGTCCTAAGTCAGGACTCTCTGGCCTTTGTTAGTCGTGTATGTATTTTTTATATTTTTTAATTTTGGTTCTGAACTAGCAAACAATTTTGTTTAGGTACCAGCTGAAGCCCGCCTACTGGTGCGGGATTTTTTCGCTGTTTTGAAGACCCATTAGTGGCTTTGGGCTGTTTTCTGCTCTTTGGTCGGGTTGTTGTCTCATTGACACATTTCCCGTTGCAATCCTCATTTTTATGTCTAAAGTCAAGCTTTGCAGAAGTTATTCATTTGGTTTATTTTATTCGTTATTACTTCTTCTACATGGTTGATTACTGTGTAATTAGTGGCTGATTTAGATAACATGAAGCAAGGTTACTCATCAAAAACACAAAAAAGGTTATGATATTCAGTTGAATCATGCTTGATAAGTTGAATTAAATTTTTATATTTCAGCCAGAAAAGGTGAAAAAGAAGAACACTACCGATATATAGAAACAATGGTTGTCACATTAGGAAGAGAAAAGGGTACTGACTTTTCACATTATAGCTTGATAAAGACTGTCATTCTATTTTACTGATTTATTTCTTAATTTTTTACCTCTTTAGTTTTCATATCCAATACGATTACAAAAATTAATCTACTTGCAAGAGGAGCATCCGTTTGGTTGATGGTGTTTGATGTATTAAAACGCAATCACATCCATTCTAATTCAGGACATTAACTTAAAGAATTGTTATTTATTTTCCTGGTAAATGCACATTCTTTGTATTTGTGTTTTTGTCATCTAGATAAAAGTAATGATAGAATTACGTACTTTTTTATGTACTTATTTTCATTTAAAGAATTTATTAAATGTATTCACAACTTTTTAAAGATTCGAGCACTTTAAGGCTGACTTATTGTAAAGACACATTTGCATTGATAAAGACGACATGATGATCACTTGATGTCTTTTTTTTTGTGTCATTGGTCTGCTGTCTCATTGACGTATACTACATAACCATTTTATGTATATACATCCTGTCTATTCAATATCGAAAAGAAACTCTTTTCACAAAAACGTGTCAGATTGGCAAGTGGACGAACTGACAAATGGATATATTGATAAGGAACGCTAGTAAAAAAGAATTTCCCATGAACAAGATATTTTTCATCAATTATGATGTTTGATTTGCCCATGTAAATAGTCAGTGCACATCATGGTTTAGAAAAAAATAAATTTGTCAGTAGTTTACATATATAATAAATTTTATGCAATATCTTTTGATTTAGAAAGTCATCTCAGAGAGATACAAGAACTGAAGACTAAAGTCGATTTAGTAGAAGAGGTTTTAAGCAGTTTGAAAGAGGAGAAAAAAAGAAAAGACGGTAAATCACATAAAACAGATATTCAAATCATGACCCATTTCTGAATTATATCTTCGGAGTGCCAGCACACTTTCTTGCATATTACTAGTTCTAACCAGAACTAATATCAAATTATCATTAAATTTAAAATTGAGAATGGAAATGGGGAATGTGTCAAAGAGACAACAACCCGACCATAGAACAGACAACAGCAGAAGGTCACCAACAGGTCTTCAATGCAGCGAGAAATTCCCGCACCAGGAGGCGTCCTTCAGCTGGCCCCTAAACAAATATGTATACTAGTTCAGTGATAATGAACGCCATACTAAACTCCAAATTGTACACAAGAAACTAAAATTAAAAATAATACAAGACTAACAAAGGCTAGAGGCTCCTGACTTGGGACAGGCGCAAAAATGCGGCGGGGTTAAACATGTTTATGAGATCTCAACCCTCCCCCTATACCTCTAGCCAATGTAGAAAAGTAAACGCATAACAATACGCACATTAAAATTCAGTTCAAGAGAAGTCCGAGTCTGATGTCAGAAGATGTAACCAAAGAAAATAAACAAAATGACAATAATACATAAATAACAACAGACTACTAGCAGTTAACTGACATGCCAGATCCAGACTTCATTAAACTGATTGAAAGATTATGTCTTCATCATATGAATATCAGGCACAATCCTTCCCGTTAGGGGTTTAGTATCATACCATCATAACATATACGAGAAGAACATAACCCGTGTCATGCCAACAACTGGTTTTTAAATAATTGTGTTTAGTGCCGATGCAAAGACCCTATAAGTGAATCAATATTAACGCCAAAATATGCAATCTGTAATGACCTGACAACAGTATCGTAACTATATCCCTTCTTAATAAGTCTATTTAAAGGTTTTGTTAGCTTCAGAGGTGAATACTGACATTTTTGTGCTTTATAAAGAATATTTCCATAAAAAATTGGATGTGAAATACCTGAACGTATAAGAAGTCTGCATGTTGAGCTATATTTTCATTCAAGATATTTTAAATTCTTCAGCATTAAGATTTTTTATTAGATATTAATGTGTAATTTCCTATAGATCGTCTTCTTTAAAAAATCGATTTAAAAAAGCATAACAAAAATACCGAACTCCAAGGTAAATTTAAAAAGAGAAAATCCATAACAACTGACAAAATCAAACATCATCAAACAACGGAACGAGTGAAAACAACTGTCATATTCCTGCCTTGGTACAGGGTAAGTTAAACCTGATGTAAACAACTATAGACAGATTTAGCCAATACTTGATAAAGAGCTCCAAAGAATATGTTTATTTGGTGCATTGTGAGCGCATTTCATTTATGAGTTTATCAGAATCGCCAGAAACTATATATTGGAAGTTTGAAAATTCAAATATTAAACAGCAATAGACCATAACTTATTCCAAAACGAGCCATAGACCACCTACACATGAAGCTGATAACTTCCTAATTTGATATTGTTTATACATCTATACGTTAAGTAGAAATGTCTTAAGTATCAGTATCAAAGTACACGCATACAAAACAAAGACACTTGCTACAACATTGGTCAAACCCTCTTTGACTTGCAGTCCACTTGCATTGAAATAGACACAGTGATAGACAACTTAATAACAATTAAATAAACTATTAAATCCAGAAAAGCTCTTCGGACTTTGGAATTTATAAAGTGGGTTTTGATTCGTTTAATAACAAAATGCCAATATCAATTAAAAGCATATAAATGCTCACTTCGAAATTGTTTTCATCAGTTTTCCTTAAAATAAATAATTAGAAAATCAACAATTTGAAATGTTGAAGAAAACTTTTAAAAAAACAACAACAAAATTGTTCGGTAAACATATAAAATTCAATCAGGTGTTAGTGAAATGACAGTCAAGAATTTAACCAAGTCATTTCAAGTGTAGACCATAAAACCGAATGTTCAACCTAAACATCGTTTATGACTAAAATGGTACATGAGATGTAAATCACTAGTATTGTAATGACAAGCTTTAGAATAATAGTTTTGTTTCCTGGATGAAAAGTAAAATAACAAAAAATACCGAACTCCAAAGAAAATTCAAAACGGAAAGTTCCTTCACAAATGGCAAAATCAAAAGCTAAAACACATCAAACGAATGGAAAACAACTATCATATTCCTGACAGGCATTTCCTTATGTAGAAAATATACATTTTTATTGACTATATATGTTTAAAATTGTAATATACTGTATTTCATGTGCATGTACCAAGTTGTACTTTAAAATAATAATATCTATCTATATATTTATTTATAGCTAACTAATCTTCTCACTTGTATGACAGTCGCGTAAAATTATTATTTTGTATTATTCCTTTGTTCCAATCCTTAAAGTGACTAGATAAAATAAAACAATCTTATTTTAGAAACAATCAAACAACTAAAAGCTGACGTGCAGGTCAAGGAGGAAAACAGCCATCAGATCAAAAGACAATATGAAGCTGGTATTGGTAAATAGTTTAGCTCTATTTTACCTTTAGCCCATATTCCTTTACTGTAATGGCTATGTGAAAGTATGGTATCTCCCTTAAGTTTAGATCGCAAATGATCGATCTGTATTTTATTGTACTTAGCAAATTATAAAGCCATCATCCACTTCTTGCATATACAGAAACTTTTATGATTGATCAAAAAAAAAATATTTAAACTTCGGTTTATAATCGAAAATAATTCGGATAGTTCATTTTTCAATTAATGGATGAATAATAAAGGACGGATGTTTATTTCATTTTTTTAAAGCATATATTATTTTCGAATTATCGTGCATCTTTTGCTATAATGAACATTTGCTGAAGTTAAACGTCAAAAATCACTTTATTATCGAATGGATACTTTTAATAATTGACGGATTACGTCCTAACCGATAATACCACATTTCGCTCTTATATCATGTTTTGACTGAGAGTTTGATATTGTATTTTTTTAAAGCATTTTTATCGTTATTCGTCATAGAGTTATTTGGAAGTTATTCTAAACTGCTTATATTCATTATTTTAGAACAACTTCGAACTATGGGACGGTCACGAGATTCAGAAATAGAAACACAGAAAAGAGAAATTGCAAGAATAACCTCACAAAAGCAACAGTTAGAAGGTAATGATAGTAACATAATAATCAATCTTTTTACACGTCCTACCACTTCTTTTACCAGTTCTACCACTTCTTTTTACTAGTTCTACCACTTCTTTTACCAGTTCTACCATTCTTTTTACTAGTTCTACCACTTCTTTTTACGAGTTCTACCACTTCTTTTTACGAGTTCTACCACTTCTGTTTACTTTTCAAATCAGAATATAAAATTCAACTTTTTTGTATACCTTTGGCAATGTTTGTTTAGGTACATGTATATATAAATAACCATGCTCGTCCTTTTGTCTGTCTGTATGTTTGTCCGTCTCATTGTCTGTCCGATGTTTTGTCTGTTCATTTGTGTGTAATCAAAACTTTCCCTGAACGGTTAGACGGATATTGATGAAGCTTTACAAATTGTAGAACAAAACCTTAGTATCTGCGTATGGAATATGATCCTGGTTTTACATGTTAACGTGGAGAAGAATGAATTTATTGACTCCAATATTGCGATTTTGGTTATAGTCTCTCGTTAACAAGACTTTCCTCAGCAGCTTTAAGGATGTTGACGAAACTGTATTTAGTTGTAGAACACCACACGAAGAGGTGCATATAGATATATATTTCCGTCCCCACCTGTTAAACGATGATGATCAAATTTACTCACTTCAATTTTACAATATGTAGTAATAATCTTTTGTTATTCTTTTTGGAGTTAACTCAAAATTGTAGCCATTCGTTACCTTAACGGGTTTGTCTACCTGGATGCTTTGGATGGCTGAATTTGTTGTCACTCAGTAGAAAGCACGACAAAATCGCATACCGTACAAACTTGTGTGTTTGTATCACTGCACTAAATAAAATGCACTTTTTTTAAAAAAATACTGTGATCTTTGAATATGTCAAAATGTTTTCATTCGTTAAAAGGACATTCATGTACGGTTGTTTTAATTCTTTAAACTAAAAAACGAAAAATTAAATGAGTAGTAATTCATTTTCGAATATTTTCCATACATTTCATTCAAAATATTTTTAAAAAAGTTTGCAGAAAAATGTTCCTAAATTGGGTAAAGGATTTTAAGATATGGCAAAATTAAAGTGCTATGAGGAGGGCTTGACAAGATAAAAAAAAAAAGTATAATAAAAAAAAATCCGATTTTTAAGTGTTTTTCATTGTTTTTTGGGTAAAAAAAAAGCTGTTATATTTCAAATTATATGTACAGGGGACATTTTGAAGTTACTGCAAGAATCGACTTTATTCACTTTTATGGTCGTGAGTTTACCTAAACATGATATTTGAAATATTTTAGTGTTTTACACGAAAGTGAAATAACTTCAAGCTAACAGTTTCAGAAAAGCGTTGTTAAAAGGAAGATCACAAATGAGAAATCTTAATTGCAAAGCATCAAAATAAGGAGATCTGGAAGTATTGCAAATGAGACAATTATTCATAAAAAGTCCAAATAATAATGATCATACAACTACAGGACAGCTCTCCGTACGGCCATCTACACTGGGAAAACCCATACAGTACATTTAATTCTTAAAAGGACCAGGAAAACAAAATTTGAAGTACTTAAATAAAGAAAACAAATGGCCTGATAATTTCTTTGAGATTTTATGTGGTTGTTGCCATTGACGTTTATCCCAGGTGTCTGATCATTTAAGAGCAATTCTCTGTAACTCCCAACCATTTCATATAGGGGTCGGAACGCATAGTCACCGAATTTCCTGAATCTTAGCCTGACCATATAATCAGGTAAATACATTCCATTTAATCAGGAAAAACATTAAAAAAATTTCTGTTTGTGTTATCTTTAGAAAATATATTCAAGACAAGTATAGAATTAAAGACAAAGCAGAGTGAGTTACAACGGGAACAATTGGAACTTAACAGTGAGTTACTATAAAATACATATGAGGGTCTGGATGGGGTTTACAGAATAGAAAATAATTGGAAAAAATTGTGCAATAATAAAGAATTGAGAAAAATTTGCAACAAAATAAAGAATAGGGAATAAGGGGATGTTAAATTATAAAGAAAATAGAATGGGGTGAAAATAAATAAAGAACAGGGAAAATTATTCTAGAAAAAGAAATAAAGGATCCCTATCCAGACCCTCATATATTGTCTCAGGAAGTATATACAAATGCACAGGCATATATTTTATATTCTATCTGTATTACCAAACTATCTTTAACTTTGATACATTTTCCTGGTGTATCTTCTTCTATATTCGTAGATTGAGTAAAAGCTACATGAATCTTGAAGACTTTTTTAAATACCTTGAACAAGAAAACATATTAGCCAAAAGTAAGAGAACAGTTATATTTAACTTGTCATATGAAACAAAGTGAATATCAAAAGATCTGAAAAGGTGGTTGAATTTAATTTGAATTATACAAAACTTTTCAGACACAAGAAATACTCTCACTCAGTATGCGGAGGCTATAAAGAAAATGAATTCACAGGTTCAGTCAAAGGATAAAGAGATCGAAATTATGCAAGGTACAATATATTCAACATCACATAAATTGTATAGAGTTATAAGTTGTAAAGGAAGGTAGCTGTTTTAACTGTGGACATTTAAGCCTAAGCTTTAGAACCAAACTTATTTAGTATATGAATAACTACAATTGAAATGTAGCAAAGTTAATACTTGAATATAAAAAAAAGTTGATTGCTTAATTGATTGGTGTTAAACGCCACTTTCTGCACTATTGGCTATTTCGTTTGGGTCAAATTTTTTGCGGAGGATGCCGGAGTGCCCGGAGAGAACCACCGACCTTCGGCAGGAAATTGACAACCCTAGTCAATTAAGATTGGAGTCGAACGCATTGATCTGCCAAGCGCGGGATTCGACCTCATCACCTCAGTGTTGACAGGCTAGTGATACAGTAGTTGAACTGCTTAGAACGCTCGGCCATCGAAGCCCAATGAATTGATTTTGGTTTAACTCCAACACATGAAATGAATGGCATAAAGTTATCAAGAAATGGATAGGATGGGACTCAATTATGAACCAAATTTAACTGCCACATTAGGAGAGAATGAAAGGATAGTACAAATTAATCATTTTATATTTGTAATATTTATATGCTTCCCCCTCTACATTCAAGGAACTTTAACGTTCATATATATAACCATATATTGGCCACAGTCATGTTCCTGTATTACAAACTAAATATCACGGGACGAGGATGCGTTATCATTTTTATGACGTTAAAAACAGAAACAAGAAATGCTGTGTTTACTATCAAAAAATTGATATATTGCACAATTGGGGTATTTTTTTGTGAATATGCCTCTGATGAAGGCAAAAGTAATTTGAAGAAGTTCGAACCTACAGTTATAATAAAATTATATATCATGAACTCTAGATGCAATTGTTGCAATTGACAAATAATATTTCCCTATTAAAAACAAAATTGTCCTTGAATATAGAGTACTCCGCAATGTCATTTTGTAAGTCACCTGCAATTGTAGTAATAACTATAACTTAAAAGTAAAACATTTGTTTGCAGAAGAGGTAAATAAAATAAGAATAGAAAGCCGTGAATTTCAGTTAAAATATCGAGATCTACCCCAGAAGGAGGCCAACTTTAAGGTTATTGAGAATTCAAACCGGTTCCTTATAGGTAAGATTCAAGTTATTATCATATTTTCATATTTTTGCTTTCTTTAGACAAATCTCTACTTTAGTCAATCGTCTTTTATTATAGAAGTAATACCAACAACAAGATTAATAGCTCTGCACCTTACTGTATACCATTTAGGCTTAGTGCCCTTGCTCGTTTATGAATGGTTAAAACAGTGAAAATTCAGTTAAGGGCTTTTGATAATTGGAATAAAAAATCAATTTCTCGAAATAATTTACCGATCTTATTATCAAGATGTATTGATAACTTTTTAGAGTTTTCTTGTGAACTGCAAAAAGTTAATAACAAAACTACGTAACTCCAAAGAAAATTGAAAACGGAAAGTCCCTTATCAACTGGCAAAATCAAAAGCTCAAACACATCGAACGAATGGAAAACAACTGACATATTCCTGACTTGGTACAGGCATTTCTTTATGTAGAAAATGGTGGATTAAACCTGGTTTTATAGCTAGCTATACCTCTCAATTGTATAACATGCGCATATATTCAATAGATATTTTCATTAACACCTTATTATTTCAGAGGAAAATGCTCAACTTCAAGAAAGAATCAGGTCATTTGGTCCCTTTGAAAGGACATTACATTATTTACGAGAGGAAAATTCAAGACTTTCATGGGAAGGTCAAAGATATCAAGGTAAGAAATGTCTTATGTATACACTATGAAAGCATTTTCAGCGTTTAAAGCGCAATTAGATTAATCGGTAAATTGGGTCATTAAGAAATTAAGGTTCCCACTCCTTAAGGTAAGTTGACCTGTGATGAATTTGGCTACTTTGTTTAGGTCCTTTTAGATCATATAGCTGCTACCTGGCTTTTATATGTTTAGGATTAAAGCGCTCCTGATAAAGATACATCAAGAAAAACACTTCAGGTGCACGAAATTTATAAAGTATAAAAAGAAGATGTGGTATGATTGCCAATGAGAAAACTCTCCATAATAGACCAAATGACACACAGAAATTAACAACTATTGGTCACCGTACGGCCTTCAACAATGAGCAAACCCCATACCGCATAGTCAGCTATAAAAGGCCCCGAAATGAAAAATGTAAACAATTCAAACGAAAAAACTAACGGCCTAATTAATGTACAAAATAATGAACGAAAAACAAATATGTAACAAAGCAACAAACGACAACCACTGAATTACAGGTTCCTGACAGGCAAATACAGAATATGGCGGGGTTAAACTAGTTTGAAGGCGCCAACCCTCCCCTAACCTGGGACAGTGGTGTTAAATTACAACATAAGAACAAACTATAAAAATCAGTTGAAAAAAGCTTAACTCATCAGATGGATACACATAGAAATACATCTAACAAAAAACACAAAGTGGACGTGGACGGGTACTTGTACATCCCAACAACAAGAAAACACTTAGCACAGATCTGAGAGTACTCGCAGTTACCGACAGCTAGTTCAAAGCTAATAACAACTAATAAAAAGTGTTTATTTCAGTTAGTAGCTCTATCATCAACTTAATTTAGATTAAAGTTATCAGTTACACCTAATAGTTTAAAATGCATTGCATGATCTTCTAAAATGCATTTCATATTTTCTTTATGTCATTTGGAATTAATCATTTTGGGACTAAAATGATTGACCTTACGATCAGATGCTATTTATTAATAAGAAGATATATATTTGGTCAGCTTCCAATTCCTATACCTTTTCAAAATTTATTGACTTTTCACCTTAAGTAAATGTTTTATGAATGCATTATAATTAATTAAATTACATAAATTATAAACGGCGTAAAAACATTTCCTATCTAGATCTAAATTACATAATTTGTTTATATGTAATCATACTTAATATATACATCTCAAAGATTCAGCATGTTCAACATGCTAAACAAAGGAATGATGTTTTATATTCTCCTATCTAACAGAAAGAATTTCTTTTATGGAGCAAAAGTATCGAGACCAGACGTACAGTATCCAACAACTTAATGAAGAGGTGCAGGTTTTCAGGGGTCACCGAATAGAACTTAAGCGTCAGTTACATCAAAAGACAGGTAAGCAGATTTCATAGCTGAAATATACCACCGCATTGATTTATTTTTGAAGCTATACAAAGTCAATGTAGTTAGCAACTTTTTTTCAAATAAATGCTTAAGCTTTCTGTTGAGAAACACTTCAGAATCTCTGAAATACAGTGATGTTTACAGTGAAGTCATATTAGTAAAGTCTGCTAATCAAATAAGCAGGTCTTATGATATATTGTATTTTTTTTCATTTCGGTATATGATGCATGTAAATTTAAAAACCTTCTTTTATATGTCTTTTTTTATGTGTGCGTTTTAATATTTTGAAAACGAAATCAGTTGCACGGCTGTGGTTTGGGTTGAACGCTGAACGCTTAATTCTTTTTGAAAAATGGTCATTATTTCATGCTTTGTGATTCTACCGCAAATACAAACATTCAAATATCGCCCTTTTCCTATATTTTTATGTGAATAATAAAAATATTTGACCGTCAAGGCGATCGCAGTAACAGAGATTCATTTTATAGCTAAAATTTATTCCGAAAATGGGAAACAGTGTGTTTAAATTTGTTCATTATTTTTATCATCATAATTTATTCATTTGCATCCCTTATTTAGATGAAGCTGAAAGTGTGAGCCGTCGACTCAAGGATACATTGGGTAAGCTCTTTACCTGACCATTTTGTAAAATATTTTTTCGAAGTAACAATGTATTGTCTAAAGCGGTATTACAGAATGAAAACGAGAATTTTGTCAATTTCTGTAAGAGAAGAATAAGACCAAGATTTTGCCACAAAGGAAAACTAAATGTTTATACAACCAAAAAAAATGTTTTATAATTTTACTATAAACAGTGTATCCGCTCAACACTTGTTTTAAAGAAATCTCTGTGTTAAATATCAACGCACCAAGGACAGTCACCAGTAGCGGTTATTCAGTATGCATTACACGAGTTTTTGAAATAGGTTTGCCCATCACATGATTTATAAACACTTATTATATATAAACTTTAAACTATTCATTGGAATATTAGGAATTGTGCAGAAATGTTTACAAAAGGCAATGCATCAACCATTTGTCAGAATAAATATTTGTTAGCAATGTTGATTAATTACCTGATAGATGTTTTTATCGCCCAACGCAAATATCACATGTTTTCCTCGAATGTGACCTACAGAATTAGACTTATCACCGGTTTTGTACTTTCATGAGCTATAAGATGTGTGCCACATGTGGATCAGGGTTTCCTTACCATTCCAGAGCACCTGAGACCAACCCCGGCTTTTGGTGGGTTCATGTTGCTCAGTCTTTAGTTTTTCTATGTTGTATGTTGTGTACTGTTGTTTGTCTTTTGTTTTTTTTTTTTTTTTTCGTTTTTTCCGAGTTTGAATATCCCGTTTTGTTGTCTTTCGCCTCTCTTTTACTGAGGCATGAATGTGCATCCTGTTATGTTATTCACCCACCTTCATCTATAAGACAGATCTTTAAGGTTGTAGCTCAAACGAACAGCTAGGCACCTCATCCGAATCTGACACATTCACCGTACTCTGACTCGAACAGGTTATGTTTCTATGTATGTTGGCGTTTGTTTTTGTTGAACTTCAGTGTTTCCGTTGTTCCGTTGTTTTCCTCTTATAGTTGATGTGTTTCCCTCGGTTTTTGTTTGTAACCCGGATTTGTTTTATCTCAATCGATTTATGACTTTTTAACAGCGGTATACTACTGTTGCCTTTATATATATCCCCTTACTCCTAAATGCCCCATGTTTAAGGGGGAGATTGCAAATAATTAGTTTTTAATTTCGTTGGTTTGACCCTGTCGTGGATCGAATTTGCTACATTCTGCAGTCGAGAGGTGAAAGCTACGAAATGTCCACCGATGCAGTGTATTTTCATAGAAATTTAAAATAACAACTGTAACCGATGAACCAAAGCATAAAGGTTAACATTGGTAACTAAAAGAAATAAAGTTTTAACAAATGTTTCTTTATATAAACTATTCGAACAAAAGACAATAGGTTTAAGACATATCTTACCGATATTTATTCGATTTTATCAATATACATGTATTAACTAAATTGATCATTTTGTGTTACTACGCAATACTAAGGGTACTCTCTTTTGTAACCAGCAACACTAAATTGCGTTCAGATATGTTAAACTTCATAAGCGAAAGGAATGGTATATATGTTTTCCATTGTTTATTTCAGAAAAGAAAGAAAATTTAGAGAAAGAATTATTAGATACACAAGGTTTGTATTACAAATATACAGTATATTATGCATACATGAATTAGTACAAATAAAAAAGTACGTATTTAAGAAGTTTACAGAATAGCTGAGCAGTTATTTATGTTTTCTGTTGCTTCTTGGTAGCTTAACGTATCATGGTAACTATTAAATAACTTTTCATGACGTGATCAATACATCAATTCACAAGATCTCAATGTTTGTAGAACAAAGTTTGGGGAAATAAGAAGTGTATTTTGGCTAGAAAAACATGAAAAATTTAGTTCGATATAGAACTACGATTTACCTACGAACCTCTTTGAAGAGGTTCTTCTTTAACTCCAAAGTGTGTGGTACTTTTTTCATACATGAACGTTCCAGATCTTGTTTTAACTTTGGGAAACGCAATCTATCGACAGTTTATAATTTATAACTGCGTCGCTATTAATTAATGATATTATTTAGTAGTTCATAGTTATATATTAGTGAATAAATTCCCTGTACGGTGTTTCAAACTCACCTCATCTGTCATTAAGGTAGCTATATTAGACACTCCATATCATATCATATTAATGTGGTAATACTATTGACAAGTTAAAGTCATTAGAAACTAAACTTCCTAGATGATTTTTTTCTTTATCATGTTTATACCAATTATATATTTTTTTTCCAGAAAAGAAAGCATATCTGGAAAGGGAATTCAAGTTACTTTAGAAAAATAGTATCATTTATTTTTTTTTCCATTTTGAGGTGTCAACAAACTGTATGATTAGGCTAATTGTAATGCGTAAAAAATATTTGTACATTGAAGAATATTCAAATCTTGCACAATACCATTTTGTTTCTTTTAAAGAATAATGGTTAATGTAGGAAATATAAGTTCATCAGTACATAACCTTAAATTAAATAGTATAAGATATTATACAATATCCAAAATAGGCCAATAAAGATTAGACAATTTTTTTAAAAGGATAGTAGGCTCTTACTTGATTTATTGTTATTATAATTTTTTTTTTTTGAGAGCATTTTATAAATAAAGGTATGTTTTGACAATAACTTAGTATCAAATGCTGTAAATGGCTATTCGGAGTATAAATATCTTTGGATCTTTGATACAATCATATCGGAACACTCAAACATAAACACCAGTAAGCCGGAACACTCAAACATAAACATCAGAAAGCCGAAACACTCAAACATAAACATCAGAAAGCCGGAACACTCAAACATAAACATTAGTAAGCCGGAACACTCAAACATAAACATCAGAAAGCCGGAACACTCAAACATAATCATCAGTAAGCCGGAACACTCGAACATAAACATCAGTAAGCTGGAATACTCAAACTTAAACATCAGAAAACCGGAACACTCAAACATAAACATCAGAAAGCCGGAACACTCTAACATAAACACATAAAGATCAGAAAGCCGGAACACTCAAACATAAACATGAGAAAGCTGGAATACTCAAACACAAACATCAAAAAGCCATGAATGCGTACATACGCTGAAGGTTAAGGAGCTATATAACCAAAAAGAGACAGCAGCTTCCATAGAATAAACATCAGAAAGCCGGAACACTCAAACATAAACACATAAACATCAGAAAGCCGGAACACTCAAACATAAACATCAGAAAGCTGGAACACTCAAACATAAACATCAGAAAGCCATGAATGCGTACATACGCTGAAGGTTAAGGAGCTATATGACAAAAAAGAGACAGCAACGTCCATAGAATGTCCGTCACTTAAATGCATATTAATACGGTAATACTGGTATAGAAAAAGATATACAGAAACGAAACATAAAAAACACTTTTTAATGTCTTATCTAATTATTATTTCCAGAAAAGAAAGAAAATTTAGAGAGGGAGCTTCAAGGTAAGATAACAAAATGTATCATTTATTTATCATCTTTTTATGCTTGTTGAAATAAGCAGTGTTGCTTGTTTCTTGGTCCTATTTATTTATACTGTATGATCTTATAATACAAGATTTAACTACTTGAATAAAACATTGCGTATCTCAAAGAAACGTATAATTCAGAAAGATATGATGAATATTTTTTTTCAAAATGCAAATATTTAATGAAATATGGGTTAATGAGGGAAATCGTTGTTAATTAGTGCATAGATTTAAAGTATGATTCATTTAAATGCTGGGTCCTCGGTGACCGAGTGGTCTCAGTAGTCGAACTACTGTATCACTAGCCTGTCAACACTGAGGTTGTGAGTTCGAATCCTGCACGTGGCAGGTGCGCTCGACTCCAATTTTAATTGACTAGGATTCTGAGTTTTCCTACCGATGGTCGGTGGTTCTCTTCAACCACACCGGCTTCCCAGCATAAGCGAAATAATTGTCCCAGGCAGTTTAAATGTTTTTGACATAAATAAAGCTACTAATTGATATTTTTTCCTATTTTGGTTTTGATAAATACCTAAACAGATGTCCGATGTTGCAAAATTTAACCATAACATCAAGAAATCATAAATAACATAATAAAGACATGTATAACACAAGAGTGTCTTCACTTATGACATCCACTTGACCTGTAAATTTATGTTATATATATAAACCTTTCATTCTTTACTGAAAGAACAAATCGAAACTCTAACAAACACAACACAACTCGCTAAAACAATTCGAACAAAACATATCGGAATTAAGCTTGTCATGTGTCTAACATTTTCGGCAAAAAAATTCCTATCATTATATCAAGACCAAGATAAAGTCTTATTAGTAAATTGTGTCACTTTACATTCCGATAACAATCGTCACAACTCGGCCGATTCCGTACAAGGAGAGTAGCGGATTCACCCGAGGATTGCCGATTAATTCCGATAACTTACTGCATCTAGAATTCATAATTGTTAACTTCGAAACTTATTCCCGACAATATTGAAGTAATCGGGCAACACAACGCTTTATGTTATAAGGGGATCAATACCCGCATATCTATGTAAATGATAGAGGAAATCGGTCATATATCGTTATATAGAGAAAAAACAAAACATCAATGTGGATAGTAAAGAATAAATGAAAATAAATAGTCAATGGAAGACAGCCATAAGTTTTTTTTTAATTTGGAAACAGAAACGATTGCTTATAATAAATTTGCATAATAATTGATAATTCATGATTTTGTCCAACAGTCGCATTTTAGATGAACAGCAAAACATTATCAACTAATATAGAAAACATTATGTAAATAAAATTTGTTTTACATTTTATTTCGGTTGGGGAGGGAGCGTTTGTTTTTTTTTGTAGTTTTTTTAATCAAAATCCTTAATATAACATGAGGATAACAAATTTGGAAATTTTAAACGCTATGAAAGCCAATAACTGACATTAATGTATCTGTTTTGTAGGTGAAAATCCCGAATCTCAGAACTTTGGTGATTCTCATGGACCAGAAGGACATAATGTTCAAGGTAAGAAAATATACTGATGTCAGAGTAATTAAACATCATCAAAGATACCATGCTTAAATTAAGGTACACCATACGCACGTTTCGTTTACATTAAAACATACCAGTGGCGCACTAATCAAAATAGTATGATGGCATAATTAAATTCGAAGTTGAAATGCATTCATAAGCAAAAATTCCGAAAAAGACCAACTATGTATCTGGGTCACGGTGTTTTGAATAATTCATCCATTCATAACAGTAAAGTTACAAAAATGACAATTTCAATGATATTTTTGTCAACAGAAGTGTGCTGACTACTTGGTTGGTGCTATCCTCGGGGACGACACGTCAATCGGCAGTGGCATCGACCCAGTGGTTGTAAAAACTTTATTTTAAAGATACCAGACTGACAATTCGGTATGCAACTTGCGCGTTTCGTTAACATAATACTCATCAGTGGCGCTCTAATACCACCAGTTGGAAGGTCAAACTAAATACGAATATGAAGATAATAGAAAACCGAAATTTCTGCAATTTATCTAAATGGGGCAAACAATGTTCATATATCTGGTACTTTGAGTGCAAACAAATGAAATTTATACTCAATGTTGCACTCAAATCTTAAGAATCAAGTAAATTTTATCATGAGTAGATTCAAAGATTTACATATGGAACAAATTATAAATCAAACTTGTTTATGCTTTGCAGAAATATTTTGTTAAGTCACCTTACCAGTTCACAAAAAGGTCAACTTAGCGTCTGCTTTCTTGATAAACTTATGGAGAATAATCATTGGCAAAGGTCTCGGTTGTATTGTGTGTTAACATAGTATTGGCTCCTGGGTCGCTCTGTAGTGATCAGTCTGTCCGTCTGTCCGTCTGTCCGTCCGTTCGTCCGTCTGTAACAAATTGTGTCCGCTCTATATCTAGTGAACCGTTATAATTTCATACTTTATACTTGACATGTATATTAACCAACACCAGAGGGTGTGTCATAATGTTTGTACAACTTTCTAGGTCAAAGGTCAAGGTCAAAAACTTTGGTTTCAGTTGACAACCCCATTTCCTATGGTGAAGATCGTGTCCGCTCTATATCTAGAGAACCGTTATAATTTCATACTTTATACTTGACATGTACATTAACCAACACCAGAGGGTGTGTCATAATGTATGTACAACTTCCTAGGTCAAAGGTCAAGATCAAAAACTTTGGTTTCAGTTGACAACCCAATGTCCTATGGTAAAAAGATACAATTTTTTTACCACACGTTGTTCACAGCGGGGCCCACAGAGATGACTCCTATCTCAATGATGTCTAGTTATCTCTGTTTGGGTTGCAGACCCAATTTTGTCAATATAACGGAACTATAAACATCATTCATACAAGTGGGAGGTTAAGCTTGCTATAAAACCAGGTTTAACCCACCATTTTCTTTGGAAAATGCCTGTACCAAGCCAGGAAGATTGCATTTGTTTTTCACTTGTTCCAATGATTGATAGCATTTAATTTTTGTCAGTTTTTATGGACTTCTCCCTATTTGAATTTGCCTTGGAGTTCGATATTTTTGTTATACTTTTTAATACAGTTCATACTTTTGCAACTGGTTCGTTTATATCGATCGGCAGTAATATTTTCAACGTGTTCATATGATATTTTGATACCCCTCTGGCGTTTCCCTAGGAACTTGAACACATTTCCTTAGCAACCCCAATGTACATGCAATATTTTATTAGTAAACCTTTAAAATATACTTCTCGCAAACTATTGTTAAACTCTTTTTATTTCTAAAATATCTTTCTTACAGATTTATTCAAAAATAAAAACATTATTTAAAAACCAGTTGTTGGCATGACACGGGTTATGTTCTTCTCATATATGTTATGATGGTATGATACTAAACCCCTAACGGGAAGGATTGTGCCTGATATTCATATGATGAAGACATAATCTTTCAATCAGTTTAATTGAAGTCTGGAGCTGGCATGTCAGTTAACTGCTAGTAGATGTATTATTGTCATTTTGTTTATTTTCTTTGGTTACATCTTCTGACATCAGACTCGGACTTCTCTTGAACTGAATTTTAATGTGCGTATTGTTATGCGTTTACTTTTCTACATTGGCTAGAGGTATAGGGGGAGGGTTGAGATCTCATAAACATGTTTAACCCCGCCGCATTTTTGCGCCTGTCCCAAGTCAGGAGCCTCTAGCCTGTGTTAGTCTTGTATTATTTTTAATTTTAGTTTCTTGTGTACAATTTGGAGTTTAGTATGGCGTTCATTATCACTGAACTAGTATATATATTTGTTTAGGGGCCAGCTGAAGGACGCCTCCGGGAGCGGGAATTTCTCGCTGCATTGAAGACATGTTGGTGACCTTCTGCTGTTGTCTGTTCTATGGTCGGGTTGTTGTCTCTTTGACACATTCCCCATTTCCATTCTCAATTTTATTCATTGCTTCTCCTGCCTGCAATTTATATGAAATTACCTGCGGCATCTGTTCGCACAAAAATTCTAGATCTTTAAATTCATAAAACAAATTTTTATAAACTTTTATTGTTCATAATCTTCAATTTTTTGTTGCATTTCACCTTGTGTCGGTGTTATGTTCATTTTTCTCATGCTTAATAGATGCATATTTAAAAATTATTAAAGAAAGCGATAAATTAGAAGCTTATAAATTATTTATAGATATATATAATGTTTTGAAAGCGTACTCGCTTCTAGCCCGTTGAACTTAGAATAAAGGATTCTTACAGATGTAGTTCAGTCTGCTAAATATCTTAAATAACATCTTAAAATTGACAATGACGATCGGTGGGGAACTTTACTTCTACAAAATGTAGGATTTCATTTTTCCTGTTTAAAATCGTTTTTTTCTTTTTGTATGTCGCAATTACATAACAGCACCTGCATATTGAAGTATAAGGATTTATCAGTCTCACTTTATATATGTTTTATTTTATTGTTATGCCGTATATCAATACGTAATGATTGTTCGGGGTTTTTTTTACAGCTATTCCAGGCCAGCATAGTGGCAGAGGCAGATTAATAAGAAGAACTTAGTACTTACAGTCTATGTGGTTCTTGAAACGGATATCGTCAATGTGAAATACATTTTTAATATCACAAGATATACAATTAACAATGAGTTGAAAAGAAATTTATATTAAGATATTTTCAGCGCATTCTCCTTCAATTTTTCATATTTTTAATTTGTTTATAACGTAAATGCTTCAATATATTCAATGGAATTAGTTTAATATCATAAAACACTATCGAACTCTTGTTTCATTTAGATTCCTTGTGGTGCAACGTTGTTTGCATATCTTATTGATTTTTTGTCACATCTTTCTTGCTCTAACAAGGGACCATGAATCCGAATCTGATAGACATTCGTCAGGTATCATTTTCATTTCCAAACTTTTCCCAAGATAATTCAGACATAATTATAAAATATTGGGAAAACAAACTACACTGTTCATCTCAGCTTCAGGACACAGAGTTATACTGAATAAAAATCAAACTGACACAGATATCCCCTCATTAAGTATTACAGATATCCTTACAGATATCCCCTCATTAAGTATTACAGATATCCTTACAGATATCCGAAATGATTTTCAATCTTTTTATGTATTATGACCATTTATTTATATATCTTGCATACAGCATACAATATACATGGGATAATCCGTATTTCTTATTTTCTAACCATTAAAAATATTCTATAATACATATAATGTGTGTATAATTAATGTAGCTTTGCTTAATATATTATCAATAAAATTACACAAAAGTTTTGATATTTTGTATAATTCGTATTTTATATGTAAAATCATTCTATTATTTGTATTTTCCTGTTGGAAATGGGCATCTGGCCTTAAAAAAACAGTGTGCGCAATTAGAATTCACAGACATCCATCGATCCGTTTAATTACAACAATCGAATATCTTTTCTTCAAACCCCTAAAGGGACGATCCTTTGATTTTCTGAGGGGCAGGAGGATTTTGAAAATGAATATCCTGGCGACCGGTAAGAGCTGTAAAAGTGAGAGAAAAAAAGTATGCTTAGGAGTAGATTAAAATGAACAGTCAATCCGCACAAAAAATCCTCCTGCACCTCCCCCCTCCTCTCCCCCCCCCCCCCCCCCCCCCCCCCCCGAAAATGATGTGTGAGTGGATGTATCTAATATTTTCTTGTGAAACCGTAACATTAAACTCAAAACGATATCTGTATTAAATATAAATACATCGCATTGCTTTTATCTCAAATATACAAGATCAACTTATACTATCGAAAAACAAAAAATTAATATATAAATTTGCAGGAAAAAGTAGGGGTATTAAAATACAATTCTTATTCAACCGCTTGTAATCGCATCACAAGCCAAAGTTTACGTTGTCCTCAAAATGAAGTGTGAAAATGAAATTGAATAGTTTTTTATTTTACATCCGTCTTAAAAAGACATATAAAAATATGATTTCAAAATTGAAAAATATGTTATGTATTTGTACAAGCATTAAAAGCTGTTGCTATGTAATAACCGCAACTAAAATTTATATTTTGTACATATATTTTTGTTTTATACATTGTACATATATTTTATCCAGTAATTTAATATTTACGATTAAATGTCTGTAGTTTAATGCTTCCTATCCGTGGACTTTATGTTTCACAAAAGTAAACATGTTTACTAAAAACAATGAATTCGCAACTAGAGATTTTGGGAAAGTCTCGGTACCGACTGTAGGCACCGATTTTTACAGGTAAATAAAATGAGTCGTCTCAAATGTGAATTTTACTATGCACTTGATTCATAAGGTATTTGTTGTGCAAATAAAACCAGAAATTCCATGGACGGAGCATGTATTGCTCCACCGGTAATAAGCAGCAAAATTTGAATCCAGGGTTTCCTAAATAGCACATTTTAATCGGATATGTCGTCAAGCTCATTCACATGCATATAAAGCCAGATAAGAACTTTTGAATCATTTATTTTTACATTTACAATGCCATAGTGTACAAATAAATAAAAATCCGTTTTTAATATAGTAATATTTTCCTGTTCCACAAATACGAAAAAATGGGACGGGTACTTAACCAGGGGGAATGGGAGGAGCGGAAACAGATAATCAGTGCTGGCAAATATTACTTGAACATTTGTTGCAACCAATTATAGCCTGTGGCGGCCATTCTTACAACATTCATGGGCCATCTTTTTGTGAAAAAAGACATACAAGGGAGATTTCTATCAAGTTTTGTTTTAATAGGTCAATTAGTGTTTGACGAAATTTTGTCAACAAATCACAGGCCATATAACCACGCCAAATTCTTTTGGAATGATCAGTCACAGTTTGGTTGAGGATAATCAAAGGAACATTTCTATCATCTAACGTCAAACCTAAATTTAGTAGTTTTTTAGGAAAAGTCGACCATTCAAAGGCTGTGGTGGCCATTTAGAATATTGAATAGGGCTGGCAGACATAATTTTTGTAGTGGACTATCTAAAGAGCATTCCTATATAACAAGTTTGTTTCAAATACTTTGTAAGCACGAAAAGACATGGGACAACGACGGATGCCAAGTAATCATGGCAATATTTCACATATACCTTCGGCCAAGTGAGCTGACAAGAGGGGGATAATATTTGTGAAATATATATTGGGCTTGTTTCTGCTCTTTGGTCGGATTGTTGTCTCTTTGACACATTCCCCGTTTACATTCTCAATTTTATATCTATATAAAATTGGGTTATGTTGTATATACATGTTGTAATGGGTCTTCTGTCGTATCCGTCATACCATGTTTTGTCTCGTTGATTTTCAACGTTAATGTTGCAAAAAATCCAGCGGAGATTAATACATGTATTCCAATATCTCAAAGAGCTTTGGAGTCGTTCGTGTAGTGGCCTGCTCTGGATAAATGGAGAGGGAAAACGCGGTAATTTACCGCCTAGACTGTATAAATATATAGGTTATAACTGGAACCACAAGAACCGGTCATCGTCAGTACCACGCCACACGTACGCAAGTTTTAGTATACAACAAGGGCAACATGTGTAACGTTGAAAGCAAAAGTTTAGTCCTTCAAATGAAACACAGTCGTACGTGAGGACGATACAGATTGCACCCGATGCACAGCTAAATTTTTCGGAAGAATTTTTGCCGATAGAAGATTAGATTTATCCAAATTGGCATCCCGTAATCACGCCATTACACGTCAGCAAATCAATAGAAAACCTGATCACCAGAAGTGCAAGTGTCGAAAATTCAATTGCATCATTGTGGAATATTGAAATATAATTGTCGTACATGTCATTGGTGAACTGAAAAATTATAAAGGGATGGGGTACTTTATGGAAGCACCTAATTTAGAGAAAAATTCAGACAAATTATGGTAACTTGTGCAGGACTTGTGAACTGACGGCAATCCTTGTTTTGTAAAAACATATAAATGACATCATATACATGCATACGTGTAGAAATAAATTAAGCATAAAGATAAACAAAGAACATGGTGTATAAGCTCATGACACAAAATCACTACGCGCAAAAGAAAATAAAGCATAAATAAAGGAAATGCGCTCTTATTGTCATTATTTATTTCAAAGTCCCAGTCGGGCCTTTGTAAAGATATAATGAATTCAGGAGAAGAAAAAAAAACAAAAAATGAGGATGAATGATCGAAATCATATTCTAATAAACTAATTACACAATTACGGAGACAATAAGTATTTACAATAAAAACAATGACAACATTATGTGCAGTGCATGTGGTAACACTAGAAAACATTTTCTGATAAAACAACTTGCATCGATTGGACAGCTTTAAAGAAGATATCTGGTTTGTTTGGTTTTTTTATTTATTAAATGAAAAATACCTGTACGTGTTGCGTTTCTTTTGGCAGTCAAAATATATATAAATAACGCATGCCTTTGATAGCAGGTTTTCAGTTATCATGATATCGATCTGTAGTTAAAGAAACTTCATAGCTGCACGTAAACAACAACACATTCAAAGTATGAAAAAAATGAATATAATTTCTTTGTATTTATTAAAAAAAACTGGCAGGTTGTCTGTTTTTTTTTTCTAACAAACAGCTAAATGTGTAAAGAAAAGGTTTAGCTAGAAAATATTATACAATGTCAAGAAAAAATTCATATGATATTTCTTTCTTTAATAATGATTTTATAAGGAGCAGGTATTGTAATACCACCAGATCCACATAATTCTACTTTGGGGTTTGTTCCTTCAGGCAGGGTTATCTTGAACCTTTGCATTATCGTTGCAAAAATCAAAAGAAGTTCTGGTTTAGCAACAGTTTCGCCTAGACACACACGTCTGCCTGCAGAGAATGGTAACCAGCTTTCTGGTTTCATACCAAGTTTTCCATTTTCGTCGAGGTAACGTGTCGGATCAAATTTCTCCTCGTCTTTCCAATATCTGGGATCATGGTGAAGTGCCCAGTGATTGATCATTACCATTGTATCCTTTGGAACATCATAACCTCCTGTAAAACAAAAAAAATATAATTTGTGCAGTACTTTTGAGAAAGACAGGAAATGTTAACCTGAATACAATAGTAAATGATTTAAAATATCTCTTTACTCTTGATATCTTTTAATTCATGACCTTTCCACTTTTTTATTCGAGCGTCATTGACGAGTCTTTTTGCAGATGAAACGCGCGTCTGGTCTACAAAAATATTAACCTGGTATTTCTGATGAGTGTTTTTATAATGATTTACAAATATTATATAAGTGTTTCCTAAAGTAATTGTCAAAACCCGAAACGCGCGTCTGGTCTACAAAAATATTACCCTGGTATTTCTGATGAGTGTTTTTATAATGATTTATAAATGTAATATAAGTGTTTCCTAAAGTAATTGTCAAAACCAATATTCAAATTGATTGTGACCTGTATATTATGTTTCAAAACTTTTAAAAATTTGTCAAACCGTACTTTCGTTATCACCTAAACTAAAAAAAAAACAAGATCTTAACGTAATTAAGGGGAATGATTCGAATGGTTAATGTCAACGTTGTCAAAATTGAACTTCACCTGTATTTTATAGTCTATGACATTCTGATAAAATTTCAAAAGATTTATAAAGTTATTTAAAATTAAAAGAAACTTAGAGGTTTCCGTGGTACCCTATGTATTTGCTAGTATCGGTGTAAACAAGTTATGTTGAATGCCAAACTATGTCAATTTATCAGAAAAATACGTGAAAAATATATTCTTGATCATGAAGAAACTTTAGTCTAAGTCTCGAAATTCTATGGAGGTAAAACATAGTTATTGATGTCTAAAAATATTAAACCTCATACTGAAATGTAAGCTGCAAAAAAAATATGATCCATAGTTCGTCTAGGATCTATCATTTAAGTACTGACAAATGAGAACAAATATATATATATGACTATCTTAATCTTAACTGAAAAAAAAATTGAATCCATTTCTTTAAAAAATGCAGAAAATGAAAAATGTTTTTTTTTAAATTTTGCTCTGGAAATAATATATTTTTTGTTTTTTGGACCAACTTCAGATATTTTATTTCACTAATGGTTGCTAACAATGCCCCTTAGAGGTACAATAATGGCACTAAGGTTCCTAACTTTGATAATAAAGAAGCTTCTATCCATGTAAAGTTGCATGACGGGTTGACAGGGCTAATGATTTTTTATTTGTTTTTTTAACCTCAGATCGAACATGAATATGAACTGAAAAAAAACTAAGTCCATCTTATCAGTACAATACATCAAATTTGAAAAAAAAATGTTTTTGAAATGTTGCTTTTTTTATCATAAAAAAAGATTCTGTCCAAGTTTCATAAAATTCCATGAAGGTTTGAAAAAGTTATATATAGATTCTATCACTGTATCGAGTGTGATACAATATTTATCCACTCGAGACAGTTAAATTTTCAAATTAAAAACGCGAGGCTCGCCAAGCGTTTTAAATATTTAAAATTTAACTGTTGAGAGTGGATAAATATCGTATTACACAAGTTTTGGTGGTGGAATCTATTTCTCTAATGATTTTTAAACGATATACATACAAATTCAATCCTTCCTTTCGAATGATCTGCAAAAAGATGTGTTCTTTCTATGTGACGTCATCAGGCATGGTCGCCTTTTTTCATGACGCCACAATAGGAAATTCAGAGGAAAGCAAGAAAATTTGACGTCATAATAGAATTTTGACTAATGAAGAACTGAGATCAAACGAACCACACATTGATTAAATAAAAATAATCAACAGGTCAGGAAAAGGATAAATCGTGTACGAATTAGAGAAAAGTGTTTACAAAACACTTTAACCACAGACTGAACCTTATTGTTGATAACTTTCTTTATTGAAAATGCGCTTTCCACCCATATTTGCCAAGGGCTTACAAACATACATATATAACAAACAATTGAAAATAAACAATACATATGCATCTGACAATAATCATGTTTTTATCACTCTCTGTACTTTTTTTTTAAAAGGAGCCTAATTTGTTGGTATCCTGTTTTATTTCAGGATGAAGAATTTGTTTTAATTTATCTATATATTTTAAGTTATTAGATTTTTTTCAAAAAAAATTGCTTTCCTTAATTATTACTAATTAATTTTACATTAATAAAAGAAATGTTATTCATCAACTTATACATCAAAATGTGTACATAGTCTTAAATCTCTAGAATTTTTCTGTATCTAACAGTTTCTATTAATAAACTGTGGTCCCTTATTCGATTTATTTTTCGAAATTTGAAAAATTAATCGCTATGTTCAAAGTTTTTGGAAATTTGTATGTTTCAAAGCTATAACTTTTGTTTTTAAGTTGATGTTTACTATTTTTTTGTAAATTTGATATGTTTTTATTATATAAAATAACGACGATGACGTCTACGACGCCGACGGAATAGAGGATCACCATGTCATATTTTATGATCTTTTACATTGTGTTCAAATTTAAAATGATTTGTTATAGTGCATTTTTAGTTATCATCTGTAAGCTAAAGAAATATCTTTTTTTTAGCTCACCTGGCCCACAGGGCCAAGTGAGCTTTTCTCATCACTTGGTGTCCATCAAAAAAATCTTCTACTCTGAAACCACTGGACAAAATTCAACCAAACTTGGCCACAATCATCATTGGGGAGTCTTGTTTAAAAAATATGTCCGATGACCCCGGCTGCTAATCAAGATGGCCAACATGGCTAAAAATTAAACATTGGGGTAAAATGCAAGTTTTGTCTATTATTTTGAAAACCGTTATAAATACAGAAAATCTGACAGGAGCAGATATGTTCAAAATTTGAGCTCTACCTATTGTTCACATACGTCAAAACTGTCAGACGACTTCTAATAAGAGTTATTGCCCTTAAATGACAAAAATTATCATTTTTTCTTTTTTGCCTATTATCTTGAAGGCTGTAATAGATAGCGAGAAACTTTAAAATGCAAAAATGATCAGCAAGACAAGGTCTACAATTAAGTCTGATGGTCGAAATCGTCAGTCGAGTGCTTATTAGAGTTATTGCCCTTGGGTGACGATTTTTACCAATTTTTTGCGTTTTTGCCTTATATCTTAAAAATTATCATAGATAGATAGATACTCATTTTAGCAAAAATGATCAGCAAGACAAATACTTCAATTTAAACAATTGGAGGAAATCGTCTTACATCTCCTTATTGGAGTAAGGGCCCTTTAATGAAGATGTTTACCATTTTTTTGCGTTTTGCTGTATATGATAAAAAATTATAATAGATAAATAGACACTTTTAATCACAAAAATGATTAGCAAGGCAAGATCTACTAACACATCAAATTTTGCCGATATAGTTAGTAGACTGTCACTTTATACGAGTGATTGCCTTTAAATGAGCCTCATTTGTGTTTTGAGCAAAACTTAAACAAGATAGAGAGAAACAGACCAAATGATCAGCAATATAAGATCAACAAAACAGAGATTTTGTCATGAATTTTTTTCTCATCTACAATGTTGGAGAGTGTCCTTTGTTGAATATGCACATAGACCAAGTTGAGCAACACAGGCTCTTTAGAGCCTCTAGTTTGTGTAACTAAGGGATTTAACTCTTAAATGGTAAATGGCAAATCCATTAAAATCGTATCTGATCTGTATTTTATGTCCCATAACATTGTGTTGAATGTCATAATATTTGGCAAATGGTACTTTTAATAACCTTTCGAAAAACAACCTACTGACATAGGGACGGATATGTACCTCATAACATACTCATCTGCTTAACAAAGAAGTAAACAATTGAAATAGCAAAATTTGGACAAGTATGTAAACTATGACATCAAAGTTACAAAACATATTAATATACATGTATGTTTTAATATGATTATCAAGATATTTTTCTATATTTGAGAAAGACTTTTGTGAGATTAACGAGTAACCAATTTTCCAGTAACATTACATCTATTTTTATAAATGGTGTCTTTTACTTTCCATGAATAGTTGTTTTATTCTAATAATTGAACAATTCAGGAGAACTTTCGCAGAACAATACCATGTCACAGTATTATTTTCATATATTTCTTGCTACATAGAAACAAATTCGTTCAATGAATTTGGGTTGCAATGATGTGATGTATGCAAAAAGCTTGACATAGATATAAAGATAATGAAATCTTCCTAATTCGAATTGTACAGTAATATTTGTACTTTTGTTATTTACAAATACAAAATATGCTACAGAACATTTCATCAGCAACATTTTTTTTATATATTTTTTCAAGTACTAGTATAATCATAGCATTTTTTAATTTTTGACAAGATGTAGAGTCAGCTTTGAATATTCCTTATATCTCTGAGCCATACAAAAGAATAGGGTTTATGGTATGGTCAAACAGATGTTCATTTTTTTAAACTCAACCAGCTGAACAAGATAAAAATTTACTTAGTTGATATGAAGCGTTTACAGGTTTATCAAATGCTTTTCTTTTGAATATTTAAATAGGCCCCTTGACTTGAATATAAATAACTCCAAATATTTATATTTAAGAATGAAATGCTTCTTTTTATAATGTTATTGGGTGTAAAAGCGTTGACCGAAGCACATTTTGTATGAAGCGCTTCATTCTAAAAATGTGCGCACTATCAACGCTTTAACAACTCTATAACATTATTAAAAGAAGCATTCAATTCTTATAATTACATTTGTTATGCTACAACCATGACATTATAAGAGTTATATCAAGGTTTCCATTTGTTTTTCTATGCATTCTTTTAACATTGTCACGGATAGCACGTGCTGTTGTGTTTAATACGGAAATAAAATTTTATATTTGAGCGCCTCACAATTGTTGTCAGCCAATCAAATTTACGGATTCTAATGTAATGTAATAATTAAATATAACAGTTTCAAACAATTCATTCTTAAAATAGAATCGTTCTTTTATGTGACGTTCACTTTTATTAACTATTAAAACTTCAGATTTTTAAGTTAACATTTAGGCACCATGCATCACAATATGATTCCAAAAAAGTCAAGAGCATTGATTTTATATAAATGTATTTTGGTTTTTTGTTCGAGCTTGTTTGTGGTCCAATAGACATATACCCTATATCTCATTTATTCATAAAACATTAAGTAATATGAAGTACTACTCTAGTCTCCAATGAAACTATAGAAATGCATTCACACTTCAAAATGCTATGCCTCATATTAATTTGGCTTTATAAGTAGCGGATCCCCCTCTTTTGTTTGACAACTTATGCTTTTGTATGGGGACATATGGTTTGAACCCCCTTTTTTATAATACTTTCATTTGTTGGAACCCCCCTTTTAAAAATGGCTGGATCCGCGCCTGTATATTATATGAATATGTATCTGATTTCTATATATTTGATACATACTGCTGTGTTTGCACTTCTTATTAACGTCAGCTACTTTTCTCTATTGGAATTTTACTTCTTTATTCAACTTATGGTTGGTCTATTTGTCAACCATTGAGTGTTCATTTTTTTTAAATTTGATTTCAAATTTACTTGCAATTCATTGTTTTTTTGGTAATGACATGAAACAGACCGTTATGCTAAATGATGTCACAAATAAAAGAACATATTTTATCACAAATCAGCAAAAAACGAAGGTGTGCGACTGATTTCATTTAGTCAAAATTAATATCAATGCAGTTTATATAATAAACAAACGATGCAGTGAAATAATCTAATTGCCTTATCGAAAAAAATATAAAGTCTCCATATTGGATAAGTAAAAAGACTTTTTAAAACATTGTAAAAGTCTGTTTGATTAAAATACTCACCAACTCGTGTGTCACAAATTGTACTATGAGGTATACCTACGGGAACAGCGGTACCAAGCCTCATGACTTCATGTAAGGTGGCTTCTGTATAGCTGAGATTTTCTCTGTCTTTGACCGTCGGTAATCTATCTTTTCCTATTCAAACATCAGAAACCTGGTTTAATCCACCTATTTCTACATAAGGAAATGCCTGTACCAAATCAGGAATATGACAGTTGTTTTCCATTTGTTTAATGTGTTTGAGCTTTTGGTTTTGCCATTTGATAAGGGACTTTCCGTGTTGAATTTTTCTTGGAGTTCGGTATTTTAGATATTTTACTTTTTTTATGTAAACACTGATAACAATTTGAGGGATTTTTAATTTGGTCTGTACAAACTAAAAACCTTTTGTGGCAATAAATGAATTTTTCAGGGCTTTAGTACAGATATGCTGAAATAAAAAAGTGTTTTCATATGACAATATATTATGTTTTCAATGTTTTTTTCATGTAATTAGAGTAGATGGACATCTTTAACTTAGTTAATACAATGCGATGGACTTTATTTTGCGTTTTAAAGGTCAAATGCATTATTTTTTGACAAGTCTGTTATTTAAGACATGATTATAACATCAAAATGACATAACATATAAATATACATGTATGTATTAATATGACTATCAAGATATTTTTCTATTTAAAAATGATAGTAACATTACATCTATTTGAATAAAAGATGTCTTTTACATTTCATAATTAGTTGTTTTATTCTACTAATTAAACAATCAAAGAGGCATTTCACAGACCAATACCATGTCACAGTGTTATTTTCATATATTTCTTGTTACATAAAAGAATATTCGTTCAATGGATTTGAGTTTTGAGAAGTATTCAGGTTCGGTAATGTTCAACATTTAAAAAATATTGATCATTCTTTTAAAGTGGCCTGTTTGATAATGAGATAATAAAACAAGATTTTACTATCATAAAAAACTTTTGATATAGAACCTGTGTATTAAGTATGAGCATTGAATATTTCATTGTGTGATAGAAGTTATACCATATTATATAAGAGAAAAAAATGTTCAGATATATAGAACTCTTTATGTACACATTTGTCCACTATAAAATACCTAAAAGCTTTAGAAAAAAAAACTCATCAAAGGTACTAGAATTATAATTTTGTACGCCATATACGCGTTTCGTCTACAAAAGACTCATCAGTGACGCTCGATTTAAATAAATCGAAAAGGTCAAATACAGTGCGAAGTTGAAGAGCATTGAGGGCCACAATTCCGAAAGGTTTTGCCAAATACAGCTAAGGTTATCTGTTCTTAGGGTAGAAAATCCTTAGTATTCCGAATAATTCAAAGTTTTGTAAATAGTTAATTTATATATATGACAATATGAATGACAAGGAAAGAACACAAGCAAACTTTAGAGTACTTACCAACAACTCTGTCTATTTCTTCCTGAACTTTACTCTGAATCTCTGGTAAACCGGCCATATAACGTACAGCAAAACCTAACGTTACTCTTGAAGTGTCGATACCAGCTATTAAAAGCCAAATTTTTAATAGATTATTATTAAATGATTAATAGATGATAATGTCGAAAAACAAGGTCAATTAATAAGTTCATATTGGGCTTTGACATAGCTTATGGTTACTGCAAGTATTCTTGGAGTGGTACTTCGCGTCTTTTATCATTTTGATTTATCAAGACCTTTCCAACTCACTTTTTTTATTTTTAAAGTGTGTTGTTTCACCACTGTCTCCAGTTTGAATACAGCGCTGAAAAAAGGTTTAACCCGGCCACATGTTGCATGTGCCTATTACAAGCCAAGCCCCTTGTGTTGGTCGTTGATCATAACTTCCATAAATTGAATTGATATATGAGATCTATATATTTATGAAGGGCTATTGTTCGTATTTGTTTTAAACAAGCACTAAATCCGTTTGATGTTCACTGATTCTAATATGACGACCTATATATTGTCAACCAATATAATCACAGTATATCTACGTTTAGTGCAAACATATGAATACACAACATTGGCTGTTCCGCGTTACGCCCTCCTTATTTATACGACCAGGTAAACTCAATTTTAGTAAATCCCATGCTTTACGTAGGCTGAGCTTCAAATACAATATGGTTGTCTGTATTCTAATGCAGAATAAACAATTCAGTCCATATCAGTTATTATCGGTGTAAAGTTTCATAAAACGAAAATTCCAGAAAATGATGTTATCGTCTTTGACAACACAACACAGTGACGTCATATGTATGCTTCCGGCGTCAAATGCAAACAGCAGACCTTTTTAAGGCTTCTTGTACGCCTCAGAATGAAATAAAATTAGATAAAAAGAATATTTAAAGGTGGAAAATGTGAATTTATCTATTTATTTATTATTGAAGAAATAACATGCATATATGTCAATACATTCCAGAATTCACAATGACGGGTTCCCTCAGCTACAAACAGGAAGATAGAGGATTTTACGCTGATTGTCATCCAAGCAAAATGATTGCATTAGAATGATTGCATTCCGATAGATATTTAACATTCCATTTAAATTTCATGGATAATATTGTTGACATTTGTGTTCGTTAAATATGCGGGAGAACGGAACAGCCAAAACAGTATCGTGTGTATAGGACGTTCACGGTCGACAAAATTACCTTATTTGTCCTATTAGAAACGAAATAATTAATGGCAGCCGTAGATTATTTCTTAACTGATACTTTCGTCAGGGAGAGCATGATTTATTTATTAGTTGTAATTGGCTTTGAACTAGCTTTCAGTGACTGTTAGAACTCTTATTTTGGTGCTTCGTGTCCATTGTTTTTATGCTAGTGGTTTTTTTGTGGCTCGTACAGATCTTTTGAGTTAAGCCAATTGCAACTGATTTTTACAGTTTGTTCTTATGTTGTGCTGTTACACCACTGTCCCATGTTAGGAGGAGGATGAGCGTTCACAAACATGTTTAACCCCGCCACATTCTTTATATAAAATTGAGAATGGAAATGGGGAATGCGTCAAAGAGACAACAACCCGACCATAGAACAGACAACAGCAGAAGGTCACCAACAGGTCTTCAATGCAGCAAGAAATTCCCGCACCCGGAGGCGTCCTTCAGCTGGCCCCTAAACAAATATATATACTAGTTCAGTGATAATGAACGCCATACTAAACTCCAAATTGTACACAAGAAACTAAAATTAAAAATAATACAAGACTAACAAAGGCTAGAGGCTCCTGACTTGGGACAGGCGCAAAAATGCGGCGGGGTTAAACATGTTTATGAGATCTCAACCCTCCCCCTATACCTCTAGTCAATGTAGAAAAGTAAACGCATAACAATACGCACATTAAAATTCAGTTCAAGAGAAGTCCGAGTCTGATGTCAGAAGATGTAACCAAAGAAAATAAACAAAATGACAATAATACATAAATAACAACAGACTACTAGCAGTTAACTGACATGCCAGCTCCAGACTTCAATTAAACTGATTGAAAGATTATGTCTTCATCATATGAATATCAGGCACAATCCTTCCCGTTAGGGGTTTAGTATCATACCATCATAACATATATGAGAAGAACATAACCCGTGTCATGCCAACAACTGGTTTTCAAATAAATGTGTTTAGTGCCGATGCAAAGACCCTATAAGTGAATCAATATTAACGCCAAAATATGCAATCTTTAATGACCTGACAACAGTATCGTAACTATATCCCTTCTTAATAAGTCTATTTAAAGGTTTTGTTAGCTTCAGAGGTGAATACTGACATTTTTGTGCTTTATAAAGAATATTTCCATAAAAAATTGGATGTGAAATACCTGAACGTATAAGAAGTCTGCATGTTGAGCTATATTTACGAATGATGTCCTTATACCGATGATAAAATTTAGTAAATGTTTTGACTAGTTTGTGATATCGAAAACCCTGGTGTAATAATTTTTCAGTAATACATAAATTTCTCTCGTTAAAATCTAAAACATTGTTACATACACGAGCGAATCGTACAAGTTGAGATATATAAACACCGTAAGATGGTGACAAGGGAACGTCACCATCTAAAAATGGATAATTAACGATAGGAAATGAAAAATCATCTCTTTTATCATATATTTTAGTATTAAGCTTTCCATTAATGATATAGATATCAAGATCGAGGAAAGTATGCCTGTCCTAATTCAGCAGCATTTAGTACAGTGTTTTTTGCTGGTTCATATATGCATATTTATTTTCGTAAGTTGTTTTGTTACAAATTATGTCGTTAGTTATTCGTTTGAATTGTTTCACATTTTTCATGTCGGGTCCTTTGATAGCCGACTATACGATTTGTGTGTTTGTTTTTTTTTATTGTTTAATGCTTTACGTTGGCCTATAAATACTTACCATCCCTTCATTTCAACCCTGGTGAATATTTGTCTCATTAGAAATCCTACCATATCTCCTTATTTTTATACTGCTTACGAAATTGACATTGTATGTCAAAAATGTCAATATATAAATAAGAAGATCTGGAATGATTGCCAATGAGACAACTCTCCACCAGAGACCAAATGTCGTAGAAGGCTAGCAACTATAGGTAATTTTTCATTTGATAATGTTAATTAAATAAATCACAATGACATCAAGAATGACATTTCTACACTAAAGTAATAAGAACAGATCCTACTATTCATTTAACGATGTAATTTTAAAAAAAATTCAGATTGAAGAATTAAGTTTATTGGAAATATCAGGGACCGAATCATGCATTTCATTAAACTTATCTATTTGTATGATGATGTATATGTTCATGAATTAGTATTGATATTCGGAAATGAAGAACAAAGAATGTAATGGTGGACAATATTCAATTAATCAATGAAGAACAAAGAATGTAATGGTGGACAATGTTCAATTAATCAACGAAGAACAAAGAATGTAATGGTGGACAATGTTCAATTAATCAATGAAGAACAAAGAATGTAATGGTGGACAATGTTCAATCAATCAATGAAGAACAAAGAATGTAATGGTGGACAATATTCAATTAATCAACTACAGAGATTTATTGTAGGTTTTTGTTATTTCAAAATGTATTTTATATAGTTCTTTGTCTGTTATACATTTTATTATATGTTACTGTATATTACACACAAACTGAGGCTAGGACAATCTGACCTTTTAATGAGCAAAAAGGTTTCGCTTCATATTTAAGCCCTCGTTGTAACTTTAAGATGATTAACAGCAATAAAAGTGCAATTGATTCGCTTTCGGTTTTGACAAGTGACAGGAGGGACCGGATTATGTGTCATGCAACCAATACACCCTATCTGTCATTTCTCATTATACTTTGATACAATACTATGTATGATTTAATTCATCTGTCATAGATGTGTCAAATTAACTCTTTTAAAACATATCTTTATGTAATAATATATGATTTTTTTTAACATGTGTTTAAGATTATAACACAACATTTACTCATTTAAACTCACCGCTAAAAATATCGAATACAGTTTGTCTAAGATGTGTTTCGGATAACTGGGACAACATTTCCGCGTTCTCTTCATACTCCGCTTCTTTTTTTGCCAGTATCAAAGAATCAGTAAAATCTCTTATTTTGTCTGAAATCATTAATGAATTTTTTTCTATATACTTTTAGTTTAAACAATTTATTGAAAACAACATATGACAGTTAAAGTTTGGCAATGAATACAGAGCTACTGAACAGCCACGAAGAGCAGAACAAAAATCTTGTGTAATGAGAAAAGTAAATTTGTATACATAATCTAAATACATAAAATAATAGATATATTATAATAAATAGAAAAGAACATTGACATTACCTTGATGATGTTCCAATTCAGAGTTTGCTGGTTGTTTTTGTTTTTTTTTTTTTTTTGCTCTTTCTATTTAATTTGTTGATGTCTTCTTTGTTTTGGAAAAATGTGGATATTATTCTTATTTTTTTCTTTTTTCAGTTTTTTTTTTTTTGTTTGCTTTATTATGTCTTTTTCACTTTTTAGTCAGCGTCATGTCTGTGCTGGTATACATACCAATATTAAATGTTTCTTCATGTTCCTCGAATTTTCTTTTGATAATAGAGATGAGTTCATTCATCGTTTTGGCAACTGTTCTGTATTTATTTGTTGTCCATACCTTATACATGATGGGGAACATATCTTCAACAAAACCTTTTCCTATCATTTCATTTGCTTCCTTGCTAAGTTTCATAAATCTAATAAACTCTGGATTATCTAATTCAACACTGAAAAAAGTCGATACGATAAATAACATTTACAGCCTAAACTGGATGAATTGGGATCAACCTTGCTTGTAAACCTATCATTTATACTTTAAAAACACCAATGAGCTACCTACATACCAGCATAGAAGAAATTACTATTCAAGGCCACAGTGCCATCGAATCGTATGCTTTTCAATATTACCTAATTTACAATATCAGTGTAGAATCTAAGAAATTAAATACAATATATTTTTGGAACTTTGAGTCCTCAATGCTCTTCAACTTCGTATTTTATTTGGCCTTTTTATATTTTTTAGATTCGAGCGTCACTGACGAGTCTTTGTACACGAAACACGCGTCTAGCGAACAAAATTGTAATTCTGGTATCTATGATGAGTGTATATACCTGTTTGAGTTTAAAATATCTCTCTTTCTCGAGGTTTACAGAAACAGTTAAGACTTACTACTGTACAGTAATTTAAAAGAAAAACAGCAAAATATTAAAAAAAACAATACAGTATTGATAATCTATGTCTTATTTCACCAGAGTCCGGCAATGTCTGAGGAAAGCTGTTGAATTTAAAAGTTTTACGTAGTCTTGAGTTTAAATTTGATTTAACTCCCCAAATCGGCCTTTGGGAAATGTCAAAATATACCTGGGCTCTACCGTAACTCTTGTAAAATCGTTGTTTACCTTTCGCCAAAACATACAGCAGTAAGGATATTAAACACCATTAAATCAATGTACTTTTCTGGATTAAATGCTCCATTTTCTTTAGCCATTAAAGGTAAACATTTCTTCATTGAAGCATGCAGAACGTCCTCTAAACGATTTCCTGCCAAATATTGCCTACAAAAAAATAAGCTTCCTTGTTATTATAATTGCTGTATTGATTATTTTTTTCTGTTTTAAAGTTAACAATTATCTTGTTGAACATAAAATAGACAAAGCTTTAACAGGGAACCATTCTAACCTAGCACACTGGTGTAACAGCACTACATAAGAACAAACTGTAAATGGCCTAACTCAATAGATCCGTACGGAGTGTATATGATATATCAGCATTCCTAATCTTACATTGGCCTTGCTTGATTCCTTCAAGTCTTCAATATGCTTGTATTTATTCTGAATTGGGAACTACTAAAATAGTACCATTAAACTCAAATTAATATGTGATACACCATTTCTGATGAAAAACATTGATAAGAGTATAATATGTGATTGATAAGGCTGTAATGCATGATTTATTTTACCGATAGTTATAGAATACCTAGTCTAAGAATTCCGAAATAGTTAAGAATTAAACGGATTTCCGAACAACACATTAATTCACGAATCCACGTAGTACATGAGTTAATTATGATTGTAATTTGGTCAGGAGCTAATTTATTAAGCTATTTAAATTCTTTGAATAGTTATTCTTTTTATTACACTAACCATTGACTTTTTCATGGAAATAAGGTAGAAAATGCAAGTAACTATATCTTTTCTACGCATTCTCAATTTGCCTTGATACAACGTTATCGACAATGTCTTGACAGCACTCATTGCTGTATGACGTAACAAGAGAGTATAAAAATTGTCATCTGATTCCTGGTCTGGTTTTCATGGACTTTTGATCGACAACATATTTGTTAAGTTCGGTGTGTTGATATTTCGACAGTCAATATTTTAATGGGTACCAATTACTGGACGACTTTTTTTATTCATATGTATCAGAATTGATACAAAACCTTCTCAAAGACAAGACAAAAAAAACTCTAGCAAAGTTATTAAATTACAATTTCGGATATGTTTATGATGTCCTACCACTCAACAATTCACATTTTAGTGAGTACTTTCATATCATCGTGATCATATGAACTTGAGATAAAGATACTACCAAAAGTAGATGGTCTGTTCATAGCTTGATCTTTTCCTGTATTTTGACACAGATGGACGGCTCCACACTATCATATTTGACAAACGTAATGATTTCAACTTTCCAATTGTCCAATTTCCATTCCTCAGCAATAAAATTCCCTCTGTTCTATCGTAGGGTGTCTAAATATCTCAATTTGATACGTTACGCTCGTGTCTGCTCAATACATACATACTTTATTAGATTGTGTATGCTCAAACACGAAAACTGTCCCGTCAGAGTTGCTGAGGAAGATCGACTGAAATCGACACTACATAGGTTTTAAGGTCACCATCACGAATTAATTGACCAATACAACATATCTGTTTGTCAACTCACTACATGATTTCGTTGTCTTGGATCTTTAGATACCAGAATAGTAGTCGTATTTGTATATTTACCGATTGTTTATGAAGTTGTAACCGGTTGTGGATTCGCACGGTGGTTAATGAATGCATAGCGGGAGAAGTGACCCGGTTGTCTATCCTGTGTCACTCCTTTTGGAGTCTATGCAAGTATCTCTTGTTGTGTGCTATCTCGATCGATTTATGAATTTTGAACCTCAGTAAACTATTGTTGTCTACGTTTGGCTATATCTTTTTTTATCCTGGTTGGTTTTAATATCAGCTCTTTAAAATTTGTATTTGGTACTGAAATCTCAGTTTTTTTAAATCTCGAGCACCACTTCAGAGACACTATTTGTCTAAAATCTGCATCTGGTGAATTAAAAAAAATCTACCTTAATGCCTTTCCAGCAATTTTTCTGTGCAGTTTCCATGTTGGTGTATAATTAGCAAAAGCAATATCTTTACTTTCCTCCGTGAACATGTGAACTGCAAGTAAAATGTCTTACTAATACAAAATATACTGATGTCACATAAAAAATAAAATATTATTAAGATTTACAATTTCAATGCATGTTTAAATATTACTGTACATGTAAAGTGGGAAATAATTACGTTTCCTTCTCCCAAACTCTCAAATTTGAAACAAAGTCGGTAATTGGAAAATGGACTGTTATATGTGTAATACCACCAAAACATGGTACGTCACATCCGGTTTCATACGAAAAAGGGTCGAAAAAAATATTCCCTTGAATTTGACAGTTGTAGGAAATTAACCCTGCATTTCATTGCAGAATAAAAAAACTGAGTCATAAACATATATCTTGGGTGTTTCAAAGTGCCATTCTTTTTCTATTTAAGATAAGTTCTGCACAATTTTTTGAAAAATGCCAATTTAACGAGGACTAATAGGGAAAAAACAATGGTGGTATTACTCCTATACAGGGTCCGGTTAAACTTATTGTTAACTGAACATATTCTCTTATCTTAATCATCTTCCAGCTTTGTTGCACATAATAACAAATATTTTCTGGTGTGGTTTCCGTGGCGTATAATTTTTTTTAACGTGATAGAGGTGGTGGCCCTATGAACAACCCTCCTCGTTCTCGTCTAGGATTGGGACCGGATATATTTTATATTCTCATTAAAAAAAAATATTTATTAAGTTATAACATTTTTAAACAACTTACAAATACTTGTATATTTGTCATGCTACTGGTAATTCACGTCTACGCAAAATAACATTACGAATTTGAAATACATATATATTATGTCAAACTTATATATCCATTTTTATTTGTTTTACAAAGTATGAGATACAGACAGAAATGATTAACGGAAAGACTACAACCAAAAAAATAAGAAGATGTGGTATGATTGCCAATGAGACAACTCTCCACAAGAGACCAAATGACATAGAAATTAACATATAAACATTTATAAAGCAGTCGAAGAATTCTTATAAAAACTATATTGAACAGCCCGACAGAATGACGTTAGTAAAACAAAACAGACATATAACAAACACTCGTCCGAGAAAACAGTTATTTAGTTGCGCATTTATTTTAGACAGAAAAGGCAAATTTAAAAAATCGCACCTGCTCTATCCAAAAAAGATGTTAACAGTGTAGTGTACTACTGTTTGGGACAAATTATATCAAAATTATAGAAAAATCTATAGGCTGCAACTCAAAATATGAGCAATTTTATGTAAAGGGTGTGACAGCTTCAGATCTAGACATACTATTTTTTACCTTTTCAAACTGGACCAGACTATACTATTTGAATTTTTCACAGAATAAGGCAACTGTAGAATGAAAACATTTAAAAAATGTGGTTTACCCTGGTTAGAATATAAAAATATTTGATTAAAACATACCAGAATGACTAGAGGGTCTGGATGGGGTTTACAGAATAGAAAATAATGGGGGAAAGTATAGAATAATGAGAAAAAAATAATAAAGAAAAGAAAAAAAAAAGCAAACAAAATAAAGAGCAGAAACAAATTGGGTGTTAAAATATAAAAAAAAAGAGAATAATGGGCAAAATAAATAATGAATAGAGAAAATGGTATAGAAAATCAAAGAATAAAAAATGAAGGACCCCAACTCAGACCATCTTATAAATCCATTATTTATTTTACAGTCTGAGATACAGACAAAATGATTAACGCAAAAAGTTATCAGCTCTAACTTTACTGCTTGATTTTTTCACAGAATAAAGGCAACTGTAAGATGAATGACATTTGAAAGGATTAGGGTTTATCCTGGTTAAAATATGACAGTATTTAGTCTACACATACCTGAATGAATTAATGGTCTATTGGCAAAATCAGCTTTGCTTTTGACTAATGCTTCTGTGACACTATTTATATCGTTTAAAACAACCATCTGATAAGGTCCTGTAAAGGAAATAACATGTTTTTGCATAGCTATCAATTTGTTCTAACCAATGGGAAAATAAGGGGTGTGTGATATTGTTAAACAGGTATAAACATTTGAGTTTATTATAAATGTTTCATAAATATCCTACACATTTCATCGGTATATCCATTTTATCTTATCTTTTATTTTGGGAGATCTTTCAGATTTAATTAAGTTTTTAATCGTTTGGTTTTTTTTTATGTTTCATATTTGTAATGTTAAGTTTGCATATTTTTTTTCTTTTGTGTAATTATTTCATTTTTTGTTTGTTTTTTGTTTTTTGCTTTCCTTTTTTGGACATTAGAAAAACATTTTTTTTTAAATGTTGATAGATCCTTTGATCAAAAGGAAAGCACTTTTCTGTGCTCTTTTTGTTAACAAATAGTTAGAAAGTCTTCATCCATGAGCTGATTTGCTCAATCCTAACAGTTTTCAAAAGTATACTCATTGAAAAAAAATTTTCAAAGATTAAAAAACTAAAATAAAGTATAAAGGTATATAAAAATGCATATGACACTGGTTTTAACCTCTGTATTTTAAGCTCTTGTTTTTCCTAACATTTCTCAAATTCTGATTTACTAACCTAGACTAACAGTGAACACTGGTCCATATTTCTTCGCATATTTTACAAATATTTCATGTAGAAATTTGGCTTGGATAACTGGAATTGAATAAAACTTCTTATTAATCTTAGTAATACATATACCAGAAAAAAACAAATACCTAGACAGAAAACGCAAATACTTAAGCAGAAAACACAAATACTTAGACAGAAAACACAAATATTAGGCAGAAAACATAATATTCTTAGGCAGAAAACACAAATGCTTAGGCAGTAAACACAAATACTTAGGCAGAAAACACAAATACTTAGGTAAAAAACACAAATGCTAAGGCAGAAAACACAAATACTTAGGTAAAAAACACAAATACTAAGGCAGAAAACACAAATACTTAGGTAAAAACACAAATACTAAGGCAGAAAACGCAAATACTTAAGCAGAAATTAAAAATACTTACTATGCAATATAAACAGTTAAACTGTTCTAGTGTGGGTCTAACTTTCAGCGGATAGAGTTTTGAATTAAGGCAACATCAGTTTACCGATGTTCAATTCTCGTTAAGGTGGTACCAAACACCTTAACTAAAATTAATTTGGCTCGATTAATTTTCCTAAAATATTGACAAAATATTTCATGTGACCCTTTGACAAAAATATAAAAATTTCAAAAAACTTGAACCACACACTTTATCGGAAAAATTTCATTGGATATTTAGCAGTTTGACAAACACTAATTTTGATCATTGAGAAGCTCAATATTGCCTTAACAATAGAATGTGATTAAAACATTCAGCTTATTTTTACAGAGTTATCTCCCCGTAGTGTTATGTACCACCTTAATCGATTTAGAAGAGACAAATCAAAGTAACAAATACACATCGAGAGATTTGGATTTATCTATATTTTATTACTTGAATGTGTGCCTTTAGCAAAATTCAGCATAAAAACTATAGGAAATTTGTATTATATCAAACATGTAATCTCCTTAATTTGTGGATCAGCTTTATTAACAAAATACACGAAATCGACACCTCTAAAAGAATAAATGCAGGATATATTAGAATGTCAATTCTTATAATTAGAATTATAGATATGGATGTGTCTATTGCTTTGTATGTGCCATTATTTGAAACTTACATGAAATATTAAATATTAAGATATTAATTGTCCCTTTGTATCGCCTTACCTTATTTATACCTCATTTCATATAGATTATCACATTTCACCCACCTACCGTGGGCAGACTACTCCTGCCAACTCTAATTTCCGGATAGATTTATAAAAAAAAGCTGCTCCCAGCAGAGGAGTGTGACATGCTTTTTGGATGTAGGATATAGGAAGTATAAAAAAGTGGGGATGTGGGATATAAGGGGTAAAAATGGGGATGTGGGATATGGGGGTAAAAAGTGGAATCAAGGAAAAAGTAGGAACAAAGTGTGAAGTAGGAAAAAGAAGGAAAAACATGTGGGAAGTAAAACGGGATTTTGGAAATGACCACCCCGTGTCAATCCCTCTCACCAAAGACGGAGGGACATAACATAACACATGTGATCTGTAGTCTATAAGATGATAGATTTTAAAAGAAAACAAACCTTAACCATAGAGTAAAAACATTTAAAAAACATTCAATGATATGACTTCCTTGTACACAACACATTTACTTAAATAAAACGAAGTGATCTAGCTAGAAACTGAAGTCAAAGGGGAGCAGTTATAATAATCAAATTAAAAAACAAACAACAATAAAAAAACGTGGCCATTATTTTTACAACAGGTTTATCTTTCACACTAAAACATTTGAGAAGCATCTTCCATCTGTTTCCTTTATCCGAACATAATTTCGTTAAATACAATAAAAACTATGTTCACTCTTTTGCCCTTTCTAAGTGTGTATCAGTGCTGCCAGTTCATTATGAAAGATGTATATATGTCCAGGTCTATGCAATCTTAGATTACATGTGCGCATATTAAACCACTAATTTGGCTAATATTGAACTACTTGAGTGTTTAATGTCTTTAAATTCAAATTCATCGGGTTATGCCCATGATACAAGTTTTGAGAGCATATTGTGACAACCAAACATGCCTAAATAAATGTAGAATTGTAAGGTCAATTTTGTTTCAAAGGATTGCAAGCTTAGTATTAAAACCATTACATATTTCATGAACTGTAAATTGAATCAAATAACTGAACGTGAGGGGACAAAATAAAAACTGTGTTTCCCCTAATATGATGAAAAACAGTTGACAAGCAGGCATAAAGTTTTGTTTAAACAGGGGAAATAGTCCGATTTTTTGTTGAAAATATGAAAATAGTCTTAATTTTTTTTATTAGTTGTTAGTGGCTTTGAACTAGCTGTCAGTAACTGCGAGTACTCTCAGATCTGTACTTAGTGTCTTTTTGTTGTTTGGATGTACAAGTACCCGGCCACGTCCACTTGTATTTGTAGTATTTGTATTTTTATCCATCTGATGAGTTAAGCCTCTTTCAACTGATTTTTATAGTTCGTTCTTTTGTTGTACTGTTACACCACTGTCCCAGGTTAGGGGAGGGTTGGGATCCCGCTAACATGTTTAACCCCGCCACATTCTGTATGTATGTGCCTGTCCCATGTCAGGAGCCTGTAATTCAGTGGTTGTCGTTTGTTTATTTGTTACATATTTGGTTTTCGTTCATTTTTTTTACATAAATTAGGCCGTTAGTTTTCTCGTTTGAATTGTTTTACATTGTCACTTCGAGGCCTTTTATAGCTGACTGTGCGGTATGAGCTTTGCTCATTGTTGAAGGCCTTACGGTGACCTATAGTTGTTAATTTCTGTGTCATTTGGTCTCTTGTGAAGAGTTGTCTCATTGACAATCATACCACATCTTCATTTTTATATTTAGGGTCTAAAAATTCGGGTCGCTCTGGTTAGTGGAAACACATATTTTTAAAGCTTAAGACAACAGAAGTCACTCGGCATAACTTTTCTTCGTTTGTCCATTATAAAGCAAATTTATACCCTTCATAACTTCCAATCAAAGGCAAGCAAAATGGTATTACCTTCATAACTTTCTATCAGAGGCCAGCAAAATGGTATTATCTTCATAGCTTCCTATCAGAGGCCAGCAAAATGGTATTACCTTCATAACTTCCTATCAGAGGCCATCAAAATGGTATTACCTTCATAACTTCCTATCAGAGGCCAGTAAAATGGTATTACCTTCATAACTTCCTATCAGAGGCTAGCAAAATGGTATTACCTTCATAACTTCCAATCAGAGGCCAGCAAAATGGTCCTGGAGGAAGATTATACTTCCATCTTTGTCTGAGTTTGTAAACAACAAGTACAACTAGTAATCCAATAAGAACTGTCTGTACATTGAACGCTGATAAAATTGAGTACAACATTCTGAAACATGAAACTACAATTAAAGGTATAATGAGTTCTAAATGCTTGTTGAATTCTTCACCACTATTATAAAAAAATAGACGAGGATCTTACGTGTATATATAAAATTATCTTACCTCCTTTAGATTTCGGAGGATATGATTGGTTAAAGGACTACACGTGGTGACTACATATATTTGATATATATCAGGAGCACCTGAGATCACCCCCGATTTTTGTTGGGGTTCGTGTTGCTCAGTCTTTAGATTTCTATGTTGTGTTTTGTGTACCACACAATACATTTTAAGGCATACAGTGATGACAGCAAAATGAGATAAAACATCAAGCAAATATATATTGTCCTTCGAATTCATATCCTTAGTACTACTGGTTTTTTATATGATATGCATGCAAGATCCTATTTCATTTGTAAATTTTTTATATATATGATTCATATATACATATAAGATCCTAGATACTAGTTCAATTGTAATGGTTTATATATGCAATATATTATTAGTTACATGGTGTGTTAGTGACTTAATACGATATATATGGGGTCAGTAAATTCCATATGGGGTGAGAGCGAAATTTGCTTGATGTTTTATCTTATTTTGCTGTCATGTAAATTTTGAAGGGATGATTTCAACCGCACCTCTTGGAACTGTTGGTTTTATAGCTTCCTTGTAAGCAGCAACCCTCTATCAGGGAAGTTATGATATAAAATGAAGGCTCTGAAATATCGTATCAACTAGGAGATATATACTACATATGCAGGCGCTGCTGGGATGTTGCTACATAGAAATAGAAAGTTGACAATTGGGAAGCTGAAATCATCTCTTTTGTCGTAAAGTTTTGTTTTCAACTGATCCTCATTGCCAATTTTATTTTTTTAAGTTGTACTGAGTATTAAAAAAAGCTGATTTGAACTATATTATGCTTTGCTAAAATAGGCAACAAATGCTTGAATTTCCGTCATTCAGGTAAAAATTTCAAATATAACGCTATAAGATCAACAATAAAGTGTCGTGTATTCTGCCTCCTTACCTACCCTTAATTTCCATACCTACCCTAACACATTATATGGAAATTTTTGAATAATCAGATTTAGTCCAGACCTTTTTGTTAAAACACAATTTAGTTTTATATGTTGTGTTTTGTAGACTGTTGTGTGTCTTTCGGTCGTTTTTCGTTTTTTGTCTTGTGAGTTGTGAGTTGTGAGTTCGTTTTTTTACTTTTCAGTTTGACTATCCCTTTGGTATCTTCCGCCTCTCTTTTAAAGTTCGGAACACTACTATAAAACCTATGTACATGTATTTTTGTAATTAGCTACCTTCCTGTTTTATTAAAAAAAAGACAAAAAAACAAAAAAAACAAGTATATCATGTTTGCTGGTCTAATGATAACCAGGCATTAAATCGAAAATAAATGTTTCGTATTGTACATGCAAGGACTTTATATAGCTATTACAAAGATATCTCTTTTGAAACAAAAACAAACAAAAATTTCGAGTAGTAAGGCCGTACAAATTAAATAGCTGACCTAGCAAAAGGTGGAGTTAGTTAAAATCCTCCTCAAAAGTGATATAGAAAAAAAAACTAAACAGTGTTAGATATTTGAGGTGACCAAGGGTACATACAGGCGCAGTAAGCATTCTAAGGTTGTTAGAAGGCCTAAAATAAACTCGTCATGGATAACAGAATTTTTGTACGCCAGACGCGTAATATTGAGTGTATAGTATCAGGATGAAAAGTGTTTTAATTTGAATTGAAAGAAAACTATTTTGGAGAAATGTTTTAATATTTGAATATGTATATACACCAAATAGGTAAAATAGAATGCAAGACCAATGTTATACATAATAATACAAGTGTACTTTTTATGCACACTCTATATGTCTCTGGTTTTGAAAGCCAATTAGATTGGGCTGTTTTCGTTTAATGTGAAAATGAAATTGACACCAATTGTTACGTCATATAAAAAATACCGAGCAATACAAATGTATGTACCACGTGCACTTAGTATTAGAAGCATGAGTAAATTTTCAAAAATAGACCGTCATATATCTATTTATTCATTATGGTGATTTTGTGTAATAGTGACTATATAATAATTTCAAATTTCTGATAGAAATAGGGGTCATATGGGGCCTTATTGAAACGACTTCTTTTAAATTCTAAATGTGAAATTATTCAAACCAAAAACCCAACGGCCTGATTTATGATAAAACAAAAGATGAAAAACAAATATGACAGACACCAACCAACGACAATCACTGAATAACAGGCTCCTGAATTTGGATAGGCATATGTAGAATATAGTATACATAAAAACATATTTGTAAACGCTCAACCTTTACCCCTAACACGTAACAATGGAGTCACAGCCCAGCATAAGAAAGACTGTAACAAGTAGTTGAAAATGGTTTGCCTCGTAAGACCGGCACGAAATAAAACAACTAACATAAAGACAAAATACACAAAGTACCAATATAAGAGTACTCTCCCAGACTAAAATACATATAAATCATCATTGTACACTTAACAGTAAATACAAGTAAATTGTATGTGTAATACAGTCAATGGCAATCGCGCTGTATCAGTCATTCGTCATGATATCGATATCAGTAACGGTTGCAAAGGCTTTATCAAACACCTTATTGCAACATGGTCTTATTGCATGGCAACATTTCATCGATATCAGTCACGGTTGTTACGTGAAAAAAATCTACTTTAGACAAGGACATTTAAGTTCAGTAATACGAATCCTTGCATGATTGTACATTACAGGTACGGCTAAACATCATTGTATATACGAAAGAAAGCTTTAAGAAATTTATGATAACTAATTCCCCGACTGAAATAATTTACCAGCTATACATAGCTTACGTTCATCGAAATCTAATACGTCACTACAGACAAGAGCATAGCGAACGAGTTTGAAAGTATACACACCATAAGATGGGGCCACAGGAACACCACTGTCTAAAATAGGAAAAAGTAACACTTTAGGGAACTAAAATTCATCTCTTATGTCGTAATGTTTGTTTTGATTTTCCCGTTTGTAATAATTCGAATAATTCTACGCCCTAAAGCGACCTATAGCTGATAGTTAATGTAGCAATCGGGGAACATTCGGAGATTGGCGGAATATAAAGACTGACATTATTCGGGTTACGTGTGAAACAAATATCCATTTCTAGGAAAAGGAATAAAATTGCTAGTAATCTTAGATTTTTTTAGAATAAAATCCTTTGGGTAAATTTTCGCAGTATGATTTATGTATTTGACCTGTAGGCAATTCCATATGCTCCGTATAAGGTTAACTTAGCAGTTTCTGCTTTAGTTGACAATGTATTGAGAGAGAAAAATGTGCACCGTAGAAATATTTTGGCAAAACAAGAATGAAAGATGTGGAGATTACGTCAAATAGATAGCGACCAAACAACAGAAAAACAAACGACATCTAAAGGATAATATATATATATATATATAACCAGTCTAAAAGGGTACAACATCACCAAAAAATGACAATAAACGAACAAATGAAACTATAAATATTTCGGATAACAGATATCCTTCATCAGTATGACGGCACGATGTAAAATGAATCAGATCAATCTATTCTGATTATTAAACTATAGCAATCTTGAATTCTATACAATAAAAAAAGTGAAACAGTTTCATCCGAACATCATATGTAGAGACGCTAATAAACTTTTACAATTTCCAAAAAACGACTCAAAGACATGCCTAAAATGAAAATAGTAATTAGAGATATGAACTGGCACAACTCTAAAATTCCAAAGTGACGTCAGTTAAGTAGTTACAACAACTGCGTGTAAATACATTCCCAAAAAAAACAGCACCTGATCGGCATAAGCTGGTAAAATATGTCAAACAGAGGCTTTTATCATTCCAAATAAATAGCAGTTTTATAATGAAAAGAAAAAATAATAGTAAATTTGGGATAAGGTCAAAAAAATGGACGTGGATGCGTACTTGTACATCCCTACCAAATGAAAAGAACCCTGGTAAAATTCAAAAAATTCCAAAAGAATCCTTAAAACTTAAAGGGTCAAGTAAGGAAGCCGGAGTAACTGGAAACAAATGATGTCAGGAAAATGAGTGACTCATTCTATGTTTTTTCATTTATGCCCTCTGGGGAAACTGTCCTTAGCTTTCTTATCCAAAACCTTTCCCGAGCAAGTCTTTCGGCCAATGACACACCCTCGTTGTGGTCTATGATTGTGATTGTAAGGTTTTTGAGATCAGCTTGGGCGTGCCCAGGTGATCTCAAATGACGACTTACGGGGAGGTCGGGCTTGCAGGTGTAGTCACTTCGATGACCATTCATGCGTTTGTTGAATGGCTGTTCTGTCTCGCCAATATACTGCATGCCACATCGACACTGAAGAAGGTATACAACATTCTATGTTTTGCAAGTTACATTACAAAATATAGTGTACACAGACCCAGTGGAGTGGCAAGTAAATGTTTGAGTATTCAGTATTTGTTGGCAAGTCAGACATCGTCTGTTACCACACGACTTGCACCATCATGCAGTTGAACAGCTTTTATTAGAAGAAACGTCAGCTTTCACAAATAAGTCTTTCAGACTAGCTGGTCTCCGAAAAGCTAAGACAGGAGGATTGGGAAAGATCTTGGACAATTTTGGGTGCTTGGCAATAGTTTGCCAATTGGCACGGATCAAACGTGAAAGGCTAGTAAAGGCGGGATTGTATGTTAAAACAAACGGAACTATTTTGCTGCGCCTCTTCTGTTTGTACTGTAATAGGTCATTGCGGCTGTTGTTATTATCACGCGCAAATCCCTTATCTATGTCCAATTTCTTATAACCTCGTTTGGTAAAAAAACCGCGAAGTTCCTGTAACCGTTTAGTGACAGCCTCCTCAGAGGAGCAAATCCGCTTTACTCTGAGAGCTTGACTGTACGGGATACTTTTTGTACAGTGTTTGGGGTGACAGCTTTGGGGAGAAAGGTATTGATGTTTATCTGTAGGTTTACAGTAGGGATCTGTTGATATGACACCGTCCTTAATAGATGTAGTAGTGTCTAAGAAAGATATTTTGGAGTCGGAAATTTCATATGTAAATTTAATTGACTGTTGTGCGTTTTTTGCATGTCTGATAAAATCATCCAATCTTTGTTGGGATTCAATCCATTTCATGTCAACATCATCGATGAAACGGAACCAAGACAGAGGTTTGGATAAAGATGTTGAAATAATTTGTTTCTCTAATTTTCCCATGAAAATATTGGCGTATGACGGTGCCATTTTCGTCCCCATCGCTGTCCCGTTTATCTGAAGGTAATGTTCACCATTAAAGGTGAAATTGTTGCATTTCAGAACCAGAGTGAGCAGCTGGACTAAACATTCGGTAGGTGGTTCTAAGGTGTTCTGAGAGTCCCATATTTCCTTACACGATTGTATTCCGTCATCATGAGGTATGTTGGTATACAATGAGGTGACGTCTAAAGTGACAAGGAGGGTTTCCGGAGGAAAAGGGTTCATGATTTCCATTTTACGAAGATAATCTGTTGTGTCTTGAATGTGAGAAGGAAGATTTTCTACATAAGATCTTAAATGAAAGTCTACGAATTCCGAGATTTTCTCAGTCGGGTGGCCGTTTGCGGATACAATGGGTCTATCAGGGTTGTTAACCTTGTGTATTTTGGGAAGAAGATACAATCGATCAGGCTTGGCGTTCTCTGGTTTTAAATATCCGATTGTATCCTCATCTATGTGACCGTCATCGTGCATGGTTTGTAACGCAGTAATAATTTTGGAACTAAACTCGGAAGTAGGGTCATAGTCAAGCTTCTTATAAAATCTCTCATCAGAGAGCTGACGCTCTGCTTCCGCGATGTAATTAGCTTTGTCCATTATCACAACGGCTCTTCCCTTGTCTGCTGGTTTTATCACAATATCATCTCGGTTTCTCAGCGATTGTATGGCTTTTTTCTCGTCAGAAGAGGTGTTATAAAATGACGAGTACTTGTTGCTAGCTAGATGAACAACATCCGATTTGATTTTGTCGATAACATCTTCCAGTGTAGCAGATTTACTAGGTTTTGGAATCCATAAACTCTTCTTTTTAAAATGCGGAATTCTGATTTCTTCCTCCGAGTCAGACGTGTCTGAGTCTTCCTCATTATCCTTGTTACCAAAATATTCTTTGATTCTGAGGGTTCTGGCAAAGTAATTAAGGTCATCTTCCAGTTTCATATTATCTATGTTACTGGGAGTGGGGCAAAAATTCAAACCCTTAGATAAGACTTTAATTTCGTCCTCAGATAAAGAGACTGTTGATAAATATGGGACTCTCGCAACACCTTAGAACCACCTACCGAATGTTTAGTCCAGCTGCTCACTCTGGTTCTGAAATGCAACAATTTCACCTTTAATGGTGAACATTACCTTCAGATAAACGGGACAGCGATGGGGACGAAAATGGCACCGTCATACGCCAATATTTTCATGGGAAAATTAGAGAAAAAAATTATTTCAACATCTTTATCCAAACCTCTGTCTTGGTTCCGTTTCATCGATGATGTTGACATGAAATGGATTGAATCCCAACAAAAATTGGATGATTTTATCAGACATGCAAACAACGCACACCAGTCAATTAAATTTACATATGAAATTTCCGACTCCAAAATATCTTTCTTAGACACTACTACATCTATTAAGGACGGTGTCATATCAACAGATCCCTACTAGACCTACAGATAAACATCAATACCTTTCTCCCCAAAGCTGTCACCCCAAACACTGTACAAAAAGTATCCCGTACAGTCAAGCTCTCAGAGTAAAGCGGATTTGCTCCTCTGAGGAGGCTGTCACTAAACGGTTACAGGAACTTCGCGGTTTTTTGACAAAACGAGGTTATAAGAAATTGGACATAGATAAGGGATTTGCGCGTGATAATAACAACAGCCGCCACGACCTATTACAGTACAAACAGAAGAGGCGCAGCAAAATAGTTCCGTTTGTTTTAACATACAATCCCGCCTTTACTAACCTTTCACGTTTAATCCGTGCCAATTGGCAAACTATTGCCAAGCACCCAAAATTGTCCAAGATCTTTCCCAATCCTCCTGTCTTAGCTTTTCGGAGACCAGCTAGTCTGAAAGACTTATTTGTGAAAGCTGACGTCTCTTCTAATAAAAGCTGTTCAACTGCATGATGGTGCAAGTCGTGTGGTAACAGACGATGTCTGACTTGCCAACAAATACTGAATACTCAAACATTTACTTGCCACTCCACTGGGTCTGTGTACACTATATTTTGTAATGTAACTTGCAAAACACAGAATGTTGTATACTTTCTTCAGTGTCGATGTGGCATGCAGTATATTGGCGAGACAGAACAGCCATTCAACAAACGCATGGATGGTCATCGAAGTGACTACACCTGCAAGCCCGACCTCCCCGTAAGTCGTCATTTGAGATCACCTGGGCACGCCCAAGCTGATCTCAAAAACCTTACAATCACAATCATAGACCACAACGAGGGTTGGTCAAGGGCCGAAAGACTTGCTCGGGAAAGGTTTTGGATAAGAAAGCTAAGGACAGTTTCCCCAGAGGGCATAAATGAAAAAACATAGAATGAGTCACTCATTTTCCTGACATCATTTGTTTCCAGTTACTCCGGCTTCCTTACTTGACCCTTGCAGTTTTAAGGATTCTTTTGGAATTTTTTGAATTTTACTAGTTTAAATACCAGGGTTCTTTTCATTTGGTAGGAATGTACAAGTACGCATCCACGTCCATTTTTTTTTACCTTATCCCAAATTTACTATTATTTTTTCTTTTCATTATAAAACTGCTATTTATTTGGGATGATAAAAGCCTCTGTTTGACATATTTTACCAGCTTATATCGATCAGTGCTGTTTTTTTGGGGGAATGTATTTACACGCAGTTGTTGTTACATCTTAACTGACGTCATTTTGGAATTTTAGAGTTGTGCCAGTTCATATCTCTAATTACTATTTTCATTTTAGGCATGTCTTTGAGTCGTTTTTTGGAAATTTTAAAAGTTTATTAGCGTCTCTACATATGATGTTCGGGTGAAACTGTTTCACTTTTTTTATTGTATAGAATTCAAGATTGCTATAGTTTAATAATCAGAATAGATTGATCTGATTCATTTTGCATCGTGCTCATACTGATGAAGGATATCTGTTATCCGAAATATTTATAGTCGCATTTGTTCGTTTTTTGTGATGTTGTACCCTTTTAGACTGGTTATATATTATATTTTGTAGTGTACTGTATCATATTTATATGATCCATCGCCCCGTAAGATTTATCGTTGGCTATTATTCAGTCATTTTATATATATATATATATATATAGTCACAATGTATTGATTCGTGAGGGTCTGGATGGGGGATCCTTAATTTCTTTTTCTTTAATTTTTATACCATTTTCTCTATTCTTTATTTATTTTGCCCATTTTTCTCTATTCTTTATATTGATGAAACCCCATTGTTCTCTATTCTGTATGTGTTTGCCTATTTTTCTCTATTCTGCATTTTTTTGGCTTTTTTTTTTATTCTTTATTTTTTATTTGCCCTATATTCTTCACTTTTTTCCCCATTATTCTCTATTCTGTAAGCCCCTTCCTGACCCTCGATTATTTACTTCTACTTACTGTAAATTCAGAAATTATTGCGTGCATTTATTATTGCTATTTTTCAAGAATGAACATAAATGCGAGTTTAATTAAAAGCTTTGTACAGATATACATAACAGATATCAGAATGCGAGTTTTTATTTTTGCGATACTCAAGGAGTCGCATTATTCGCATTAATAAAAACCTCGCAATAATGGGATATACGATCTGATACAGGACAGAACTAAATTAACAGCTACCGAGTTCCTAAAGTTAATATATACACGTCAACATTGATATTTAAACAATGTCAATTTATCCAATAGCCATGTTATTTAATATAAACTTTGTAGTAAAAGTCAATATTCTTATTTATAACCTGTATTGTCCACCTGTAATGTATAGTTGTTAAACATTGTTGAACAAATAATAGTTAGTAAAAGCGTTGACCACTGTCAATTTTGTATTAGCTAGAACAGGGGAGCCTTCAGATATGAACATAGAGTCTTCAACAAAATGTCAATTTAAATACAACTGATAAACGATAATGTTCTAGTCCGTTCTAAATTGCCGAAAAACTAGAACAGTTTTGAATGTTACCCATTAGCAACGATTAATGATTTTTTATGAGTATTTTTTTTGGGGGTGCGACGGAATGTTAAGGTTCATCTGTTTCTAGATCGCCGTGTTTATTTGCAAGGCATTTAGTTGCATGTACATCTATTTTCACTTTACAACACAACCATTTCCTGCATTTGTTTAGCAGATTATTCGTTTTTAAATTATTTTTAGTGCCTCACAAGACAGGCCAGAATTAAAATTCATTCTGAAAATCCTGTTGCCTCCCCAAGATAATCGAATGGTTGTCGTGATATAAAACGATAGACAAAATTGACGAGGTTCCCAATTATTTTGCTACCGCAAGAACAAAGACTGCAGGACTGTGTCGGAGTCGTGAAGATTTGTGCATCTATTTTAGGTGTACTGTTTCCCTGAGCAATGAGAGTTATCAACGTAATAAACGAGTCTCAGAAAAGCAGGGAATATGACACAAGCAACATGCGAAATAACGACCTCAACATGCATGTTATGTTTGCCACTGGACTTGAACTTTATCTAGGTGATCCGTATAATACAATACATAAAATTCATTTTCACTTACCTTTTCTTGTTCGGATGAGAAATTTTTCAACTTCAGGAAGGATTCTAATCACAGTGATCCTACCTCTAGATAATACATCCAAGTGTTCCGGCAAAAACACTCTCTGGATGTAGATATCAGTTGTTTACAAGTTTAATTTCATCAGTTTTTTTATGATATAATCTCATCAAATGTTGCACTATTTATATTTATTTGTGTGCGTGTTTTGTGCACTATTCTGATCTCCGCAGTTAAACACTACTGCTGATTTATACATGTGGATTTAGAAACGTGTAGTATATGTAAATATTTGTCAATAATGTATGACTAACCGGGGTGAAGAATTAGAACTCAGATTTAAATAAGTAGGTTTGACAGCGGTAAGCGACCAGCATGCAGATCTGTTTAACTGAATGATGTTAAGTTACCCTTTTAATAACAGGTGCGAGACGAAACTTTTTCAATGCACTTCATCCACATGGCATCAACGGGAAGTATTAACAGTTTTCGTGTTAAAATATATCTAAAAATCCTGAAAGTTATACAAACTATTTAGCAGCACAATTAACTTATTGACCAAAATGCACAATGAGCTGCAAAAAATTCTGCATCGGTATAAGATGTAAAATAAAATATGCTAAAACATATTAGAAAAATTAAAAAAATATATGCTAAAACATATTCTAATTCTAAACTTCGAAAAATTAAAAAAAATGATCAGGGAAAAGAATATATATATATATATATATATGTTCGTACAATATATACAGTACAGTAAAAAGGACAGAAAAATGAAAAATAGAAAAAATAGGCAAAAACATTGTTAAATGCTGACCAATACAAATGTTAAATGCTGACCAATAAAACTGTGCTTCTCACGAATTAAATATGTCAAATAGTGGTTTGATTACTATCTCTCATTTTTATGAAATCAACACATACATTATTTGTCAGTAGGATTTGTATTTCAGATACAGATGCACATGAACTGTTGACGTGGAATTTACATAGACGTTTACAGACCCGAGAACCATTTAATATGTGTTAATGAAAAGTTTTGTTCCTCGTAAATCCTTGAGGGGAAGGGAATAGATGCAACATTTTATTCGATGTTTATCTGTCTTCAAACCCCAAACAGGACGTGTAGATTAAAAGAAGTTAAACGTTGTGATAAGATGGAAACATTTTTAAAACCAATTATGAAGGTTATACTATTCATCCATTTACGACAACTAGAAAGAGATCAGTTAATGGATTGGTTGTTGGTAGCGTATGGTCCAGTGACAAATATTTGAAGCATGCTCAATTCTCGGAGATAGACCTTTGTAAAATGGAGAAAATGACTAAACATCTAGTGACATGTATTTTTGAAATATCAATTCCGACACGATAAAAGCTGATATCTAACCAAAATGACAGTAGGAAAATGTATGGTCATTTTAATTACATTTTGTCTTATTCTTCCATTATTTACTAGTCAAAGGAGGAGGAGCCAGACAGTGCAGTAACACTTTCTGAAATGGTTTAAGCGACTCTCACACGGCGGGATTCGATAGTGTTCTCACTGAAAATCTATTCAGTCAATGCACTCCTCTAAAAGTAACAGAAGATAACTCAAAGAACAAAGGATAAAGAGAAAAGAGAATAATGAACAAAACAGATATAGAATATAGATAAGTTGTCTAAAAAATTAACGAATACAGAAATGACCTCCCCCAAACCAGATTCCCATATAGACGGATGTGAATTTGGGTTTACAGAATAGAAAATAATTGGCAAAAAATATAAAGAATGAAGAATAGTGAGGTGCCAAAAATTAAAAAAATAGAGAATAATGGGGTGCCAAAATATAAAAAATAGATAATAATGGGGTGCCAAAATATAAAAAATAGATAATAATGGGGTGCCAAAATATAAAAAATAGATAATAATGGGCAAAAAGTATAAAGAATAGAGAAAAATTGCATAAAAAGTTAAAGAATACAGAAATGAAGGACTCCAGTAATAATATTTTAAACGGATTTAAAAGCAAGGCATTAAAATGTTCTCACAAGTTTTATTTAAAGAATTTTGGTGTGTTACAGTTGTTATTATGTAAATTTGTTCTTGCGAGATCTCTGGATAACTCGTTATCCGGAATAAGCTATGCCGTAATGTTTGTTGGTATTGTGATGTTCGTTTGCGTGCGCAGCATATCCATGCTTCTTAGTATCATGTCCATATGGTTTGGCATTTCGATAGCCGTAGTGGTGCCTTTGACCTTTACGATACCGGGGATTTCCTTGTACGTTATTCTTTCTTCGAGTCTCACAATATAAGCCGTCGTCTGGAATATCTTTGTCAGAACCAGTACATGCATTCGAATTTGACGGGCAGTTTTTTGGCACTTCACAGCCTAGAACTGAAAAAATGGGGGGTTTTCAATTATATTCATGCAATTGTATACAGGAATATGATACTTTTTATAGTTCTTAAATATATGTGAGCGGGAAAATGTTATTATATAAATTTATATACAAATCCATTTAATATGCATTTTGCATTTTAAACATACTCTCAACCACTAAGATAGGAACTGTCTGCATGTATGATTTAAATGTTCAGATTTCGAATTTTTAAGCATCCAATTAATTGCTTTCATATTTATGCCCCAATGCCGTCCGTTTAACTTTCAAAAGTAGTTTCTTTAATTTTGCTGCATAATATACTAGAATTTTTTCATAGTTTGCAAACATCTAGTTTATATCAAGCGCTTTTCAAAAATAAACTAAAAAGAATGGGCCCGGAGATTTTTTCGTGCAAAATTGTCAGATTTTGTATAAACAATAGAATTTTTAAAAAAATAAAGAAGATAGCTCTAATGATGTCCTTTCAGAAAATATAAAGAAAAATTGAGATCATGGCACTCGTTCCCTTGTTTTGAAAAAAAATGGGTAAATTTACTACACATTCCTTTATAAAAGTTACATTATATGAGTTATGTACACTTTTATTACGAAATTGCTGTATTTTTAAAAGCAAAAAAAAATCTCTTTATTTAGATGAAAAGTCTTACAAATGAATTACATTCCCCTCACTAAATTTGCACATTTCATTAAAGATCTAGACCGATATTTTGCCATCGAAGACAATCGATCTAACTGCACGAAGATGGCGAATGTACAAAATGATGATCATTTGACTCGCACAGGTTTGGAAATAATAAACTATACAACCTGCTAGAAAAACTAAATAATAAAAGGCATATTATTTGATTGTCTACTCGCTGGAAAAGTCTTTTGTATACTCTTTAGATAAATATGTATTTTTGTTCATGCGTTCCCTGCTTTATAAGCAAAGATCTGGTAACTAAATATCACGTATGACGTCCGATTAGCACCTGGTAAAATAAGCTTCAAATTATATCTCTTGCATTGTACATCCAGAATCAAGTTAACACTATATTTAAATCTCTAAAACATACTCACTGGTAGACTGTTTGGCTAAAACGTAAAAACATATGGAAATAAGTTTAATTGCTAAAAATATTGAATCGTTTAAATCTCCGATGACATACTAAGTTGAAATCGAAAGCATAGTCATTATGGACGGATGGAGATCAAAACAGATTTATTTTTTGATCTAAAAATTGAATTCAATCTATTTTAACGTAAAGCTACTATGAGGGCTCCTGGACTATTTGAAATACAGTCGATGGATCTATAATTAACGAATTACGACTGATGAAAATACGATGACTGAAATTTATCTGTACGTCCGGTTGTTGTTGTTTTTTGTTTTTTGTTTTATTTATTGAAAAGTACATAATGCAGTGTACAATTTATAGAATAACTAATCAAAGAATTAAAATGTAGAAAAATATTCAACGAGTGACCGAACAACACATTAATTCACCAATGCGCATAGCGCATGAGTTAATTATCAGAGTTGATCGGCCACGAGTTGAATATTTTTTCGATATTTGAATTCTTTGATTAGTTTTTCTTTTTATTACATTGATAATGGGCTTTTAAATTGAATTAAAGTAGAAAATGTAAGGAACTATATCTTTTTCTACGCATTCACTATCGACAACAACTATTGTTGAATGACGTCAGAGGAATGAAATAACCGAGTTTATTTCACATGTGAAATTATCGGGGTTTTTTCGCTGGGAAAATCACGGTTATTCTTTGCAACCAATGTAATACAAACTTTTGTCTGCACTGATTGATCAGTTTTTACACCTGTTCCTTTGGAGAAATGGATTATTATTCGTACAAACGCAAACTGACAGATCTAATGGTCATAAATGTTGCATAAAGCTATTTCTGCTCTAGATTTTGAGGTAGATAGTTTGAAAGTTATGCTTACATAAAGGAATGACGACGGATCATGTTTCCTGTTTCGTTTTTTTTTACAGAAGGTTATATCGTTTACGTTATAACTATTATACAAAAAAGTGAAGATGTATCATCAAGATGCAACTTGAGCAAAACCGTTTGACAAATTTCAATCGTCATAATTCTGGAAAACGTGCAGATCATAATTATCCATTGTTAATTTTCATATTTAATATTTTTATGCCCTATTTATGGGCATTATGTTTTTTGGTCTGTGCGTCCGTTCGTTCGTTCGTCCGTTCGTTCGTCCGTTCGTTCGTTCGTCTGTTCGTCCATTCGTCCGTCTGTCCCGCTTCAGGTTAAAGTTTTTCAGGTTAAAGTTTTCCTTGTTAATTTTTTTGGTTAAGGTAGTTTTTGATAAAGTTGAAGTCCTGTCAACTTGAAACTTAGTACACATGTTCCCTTAGATATGATCTTTCTATTTTTTATGCCAAATTAGAGTTTTGACCCCAATTTCACGGTACACTGAACATAGAAAATGATAGTGCGAGTGGGGCATCTGTGTACTATGGACACATTCTTGTTTCCAAATGAACAGGATTGGCAATGTTGTACTTTTATTCCCGCTATTCTTTTTTTTTTTTTTTTTTTAAATTGCCATATTCGCATTGATATCTCAAATTGTAATGTTAAATGTGAACTATATAACACACATTGAAAAAGTATAAATATGTAAAGGTACACCAAGTATTTCAGCAATATTACATATAGTATACCTATCCATAAGTTGGGCCTTTCTTTAAATGGAACTTTACATACTTCACACAACGATGGTCGCCCGCTAAAATTTCCTAAAAAAAATTGAATGTTTAATTAATCCCAGAAAACAATTCAAAAGGAGATAAATAGCATCAAAGAAGCAAACTAAGAATGCATATACATTTTACATCAATTACAGTAGTCACTCGTTTTACAGACAAAAAAAATT